CAGGGCTCGGATATTTTATCCCGCGGCCGGAAAGTGGGGACGACGCGACCATGGTGGGGACCAATAGTTGGTGGGGGTATGCAGTGATTTTCACGGTAGCGCTGCGGAGAGCTTCGCGAACGCGCATGAGCACGCATGAGGGGAATAGTAGTGGGGATCGAAATACGGGCGAAAAATAGGGGAAGCGAGCCGTGTACGGAAAGATACGAGATCCCTGCTGCATACCCCCACCAACTATTGGTGCCCACCATGTTCGCGTCGTCTCCACTTTCCGGCCGAGGGAAAAGTTATGCCACCGCTGCGCGAAAGCCCTGAGCCCTGGCCCTGACCGTGCAGTGTGCAGGTGTGCATGCGCTTCCTTCTATAATATTGACACTGACTACTGCTCTACAGCTAGTGCTCACAAATGAGTTCCTCTCGTTCAAAAATTGGACGCCACTGTTGGTGAAATTAATTTTGTGAAGCATTTCGAGAATTTAAAAATTGTTTCGGAAACAGAGCGGAAAGTACGAAAAGGAAGAATTAATTTTAATGATTTAATTCATTCATTTCTATCGAATTTTAATTCACACATAATTCAAAATTTACTATTCTCAGAAATTTTGATATTCATTTTGCGAAACGTTTCGTGGATTTCGAGAAATATTTTGGAAAAGTGAGAAGTAGAACTAGTTGTGCAAAGCAATAACTACATACTGTTTACAGTTAGTTGCCCGTTTATTAACAATCTAAGTAGCTAGATTTAACACACGGTACGCATGTACCCAAATAATTAAAGTTCATAACTGAATTCTTTAAAATCTTACATTACTCGCATTAAATGCACAATACATGTACACACTTTATATTTCATTTCTATGGAAATGCATCAATCTCATCTCCAGTCGACCACATGAGATTCAAGACTGAAGCTGGCAAACAGCTATAAATATTGTATACAATTAGTTGCCATGTTATTAACAATCTACATCTATTAACAGTCAACAGTTTTTGTTATACCTCTTGAATAAAAAATAATGTGCGCTGGTTTCTTTTATAAATATGATCGCTTAATTAATATTAAGGATCACATAGCTTATGCTTGGTTAAGTAATTAATTGATAAATAAATATTATAGCTTCGTTGTTAGTATAAGCATAATTAATCTTTGGAATAATTAAATAACGAAGACTAATTGAAGCTAATTTGATGTAGTAAGCAATTAAATAATTGCTCCTTGTTAATTAATTATATAAGAGAGCGACGAATTTAAATAACAATTTTAATAATTTAATACTTATAATTTTTCATATGTTTTTATACGGTGTTCTGTATCTTTCCCTTCTGAATTCTTTTTGAGATTCTTACTATTTTTATTTTCATTTATCGTTTTAAACGACTACACGTGATTATTTTTCAGAAATTAATAATTCAATAATGATTTACATAAAATAACTACTTTTGTAGTATTTCGAAAACGTTTCAACGTCAGTTATAAGAATCTACAATAAAAAACATAGGGTCCCATTTGAAAATTTCAATGTAACCCTCACTGGACAGCTGGTTGTCATTTCAAGATCATCCAAGTATCATCATCATCATATGTCTGCCGTGAAATCACTCAACTTTCATCTGAAACATTTTTTCACATCTCTGATATGTACGCGAATGGCGTATAATCGTTTATGTGAATTTAAATATTCTTTTAAAAAATAAAAAATTAGTTGTCCAAGCCCAGGCCTTTTGAGATCTCATCTGCCGTCAAGTTACGGCCCGGCCCAGTCGATGAATTGTCAGCTGAAGGTGTCGCCGGCTTCTCTGACGGCGGCGTGGTATTCCTTGATGGACGGGGCTTCTACGAGAATTTCAAATGTTCCCCATTAACTTGACTCGTAATTTGAAATGCGATCATTCAATTCTCGTATCTACACATTATTTGCAGACTAAAATGCAAAAATGCATTCATACTTACGTCTTTGTTGTGTTTGTTTAACCCCTCCATCGCAGAACTGAAAAGGGATGACCCAATGGAGGATAAGAGGTCAGAGCCATTGGAGCCACCGGACTGGTAGCCGCCTGAGGGCTGGTACTGACCGTAGCCGCCCGAGGGTTGGTAGTTCGACTGTGGGTGACCTCCACCACCGAAAACCCCACTGATCAATCCCAAGGCTCCAGAGAGGCTGTCGCCGCTCTGCGGTTGCGGATGTTGTGCTGCACCTCCACCTCCACCTCCACCTGCAAATGCAATTTCGCGATTTTATTTCTTCAACATTAGTACTATGAAAATTAAGGAAAACATTCAGGAATATTCTAGCTACTCTGGGAAATCTTACACAATTTTTGCAGAATTTATAGTGACGTCGTAGTGCATAAAAAAATTCATAAATATCATAATTACTGACTAGTCTCAACAACAATAATAGTAATAATATTACCAAAAGCCCCAAGGATGGACCCAAGTACATCTCCACCGGGAGAGGAAGAGGGCGGGGGCGGGTATCCATGCTGGGCGTGGGAATTGTTGAGAACGTTGCTGACTAAACTGGTAGCCAGGGCCGTGCCAATGGACCCAAGGCTCCCCAATCCACCCTCGCTTTCGGTTTTCGATTTATTAGCGTCGGACTTCTCATGATCCTTCTCCGGATCCTCCTCCCTCTTTTTCTAACAAATCATTTATTTACATCAGATTTTTCAATTCCTTAACACGTTGCAATCCCATTGGATGCAAAACTATGGAAGAATTTATTGAAATCTATTAAAGATTCTTTTTTAAATTCACTGATAGTTTAGAAACAATTCCACAGATAATCTCTCAAATAAAATTAGCAACTACTTCAATTTATTTAATTTGTTGCTGAATTTTACTGACTAATTTGAATTACTTACGCTCATGGCATGTGCTGCTGCCGCAATTCCACCAGCGGCAACCAACCCTCCCAAGGCCAAGCCGACTTTATCTAAACAGCCACTGAAGGTATCCTCTTCTTCCGGTTTCTCGTACCCTGGCTGATAGCCGTGCGTTTGAGGATTGTAGTACCCGCTATTCGGCGGTGGGGGACCATAGGGCCCGGGTGGCGGTGGCATGGAACCGGGTGGTGGTGGCATAGGCCCAGACGGAGGTTGAATCGTTGGGTACAGTCCACCGGGCGCTGCAATTGCAAATGTAATTGCTAGAATTAAAGTGTGCTTTTAATTCCAATTGGAATTGTCTTAAAAAAGAATTCGAATTGCGAACGGAGCATAAGTTCAAATGTAAATGCTTTCGTCAAGTGTAATTAAAAACAATGATTCTTTAATTTAAATTGGTACTGCCATAAACAAGAATTGGAACTGCAACTGGAATTGCGCAATGATTAAAACTCATTGACAAATTACTTACGTGGAGGTCCAAAGTTAGGATTGGGCACCTCCGGTGCGTCGGCCATGGGATTGGGCACGTCTACTGGCACAATTTCATTAATGACAGACTCCACTTCAACGTCCCCGTCGATTACCAAATGCGTAACCTTCTGGAATGGCAATCTGTGCCGGAATTCGGCAAAATGTCTGCCGTTCACCGCGATTTTGTAGCAGTGGGCCTCGCAGAGGATCAGAATTTCGAACTCCTGGCCAGGCTTGATCCACATGGGCCCTGCGTTTTCCTCTGGGCCCCACGTCATATTTTCTATGTGGTTCCGGGTTATGAAACCGTTTGGGAAACGTGGGGAGACGTGCAGAGCTATGTCATCCCTGGGATTGAGGTTCGGTCCCAGCTGATAATTAATGGCGAATAAGACGCAGCCTGGCTGCGTCCTCCCGACCACTTTTAACATCTTCCCGGGATGCAGGCCACCTTCGACTGGCGCCACGTACGGAATTTGCTATTGAATAAAGTATACAATTTGGAATTGCACGCGAGTTTAAATGAGTTGCGTGTAAGTTTCATGGAATTGCACGTAAGTTTGTATGTAAGTTGAAATATTGTAATGTACGCTTATTTAAATAATAACTGGAGAAACTCATTAAATGCAATTACTGAAAATGGTTCTTCACTTCAAATGGAAATTGTCTACAACGAGAATTGAATGTGCGACTGTAATTGTACAATTCTGAAAAATTCAGGACAATGCCAACAGCAAATAGTTGAATTAATTATAGTTGTTAAAATTATATATGTAATTGGTGGCGAAGGAAGTTTTTACCATCTTCTCTGACCTGGAATTTTCTACCGAATAAAATTTGGAATTTTTATATTTACATATTGTAACAATTAACGTATGTTTATTTAAACAATTAATTTTATTTCCAGTGCATGTCATGTATAAAATACAGACATAATTTTAATACGCATAACCTAGCCTACAAGTGACAATTCTTTTTTATTTGAATTGTCCCAATTAACAGTTGAAATTCCTTCGATATTATTATAATAATAATAAAATGATTCAGGTGAACAATTATTATTATTATTAATAAGTGTAATGAAATGAAGTGTATAAAAGTGAAAATACTTACGGGATTGAGAACGGGTTCAGACATTTTTCACTGGAAGAATGGAACTCCGCGAGAACTTTATATGTACACCTATTACACCTAATCACAGTTTAAGGCTAATAAACGTGTATTGCGTACGAGGTGGATATTAACAGAGGATGATCAACGCAATCCCCCGACTTTCTGCCGTTTCAGATTGATCGTGCCATTTCTATTTAGGTCGCTGACGTTTCCAGTTTGCGTCGCGGAATCTTGATCCTCTTGATCAAGATTAAAAAGCAGGTCGATGCGCAACGCGGCAACGCGCAATGGAACAACGGAATATTCTCAATTATTTGATTATACTCTGCGTATGTAACTGTATTGATTATTATTTTGAATTATTGTATGTACATCATTGAGCTCTATACATAACTCGAGTGCGAAGCAGCAATGCCAGCCTGGCATTGCCAGGTTGAGAACGGGAGCAGGGCAGCGGTGGCATAACTTTTCCCTCGGCCGGAAAGTGGAGACGGAGACGACGCGAACATGGTGGGCACCAATAGTTGGTGGGGGTATGCAGTGATTTTCACGGTAGCGCTGCGGAGAGCTTCGCGAACGCGCATGAGCACGCATGAGGGGAATAGTAGTGGGGATCGAAATACGGGCGAAAAAGAGGGGAAGCGAACCGTGCGGGATAAAATATCCAAGCCCTGGAGCAGGGTTGCCGTATGGAGCGATTATAATCGCGCCTCCTCTGCTCCCGGAGACCCCCACTACCGTGTATTTTGTACGCGCCAGTGACTGGGCTAGGATTGAAGAAGGCTGTGGTACAGGCATAGAGATAGTATACATAGAGTACAGAAGCCAACCGCAAACGTGAGTCGCAAATAGAAAAAGAGAGGAACACGAGAATGACTACCTCTTTCTCTCTACCGACGCATGCGCAGTACTCATATAGGTGTATATGGGTTCGAATACGTATGCTGTATGCATGCAGAGCATGCGCTCTGCTGCTGTTAAACGAAGAGAGGTAGTAAATTTCTACTTCGTTTTCTTTCTAACAGCGTATCAATTCCACTTACAGGCGAGCCTATGGCATCTGTACTCTATCTATAATATCTGTATGGGTACAGGCATAGTGTGGACGCATGCGCTTCCTTCCTAGATGGCGCCACGCGTACGTCAGCATGTGTGTGTTGTGTGTGTGCGTTTGTGTGATGAACGTAAATCATGGATTCATCGCGGTACATGTCGGTATGCTGCCAATTATGATTTATCCACGATGACTTAAAAATCATGCCGCTCCTTAATTAACAAACTCACCATCTCAGCCGAGATGAGCTAGACTCAAAACATGATTCCCAACGTTTCTTTCAACTCTCAGCTGTTTACAATGAACCTAACCATCAAACAGCGATTCTACATCTAATATCCTGATATACATTATTTTTAAGGTGCGGGAAAGCACTCAGAGGCTCTCAAAGAGAAGTACCAGAAGCTGTGCCGCCAGGCATGCAAATCGGTGAGCCACGACTATTTCATTATTACCATTACAACTGCTTATTAATTGTAAATAATTATTGTAGGCCATAAAAAGTTTGAAAGCTGGCAGAAGACCTGTGGATGCGGTGTGTGAGGCTGTCACTGAGTTGGAAGATTCCCCATTAACCAATGCTGGGTTTGGCTCAAACTTGACCCTTGAGGGCAATGTGGAGTGTGATGCCAGTGTTATGGATGGGAATACTTTACATTTTGGTGCTGTGGGGGCAGTGAATGGTATCAGAAATCCTGTATTATTAGCGAAGAAGCTCTGTGAATGTCAGGCTATGAAAATCGCCTTTGGAAGAATACCACCGAGGTGATGATGATTCAATAGAAATCATTGAGAACTTCCTTGTTGGTCACTTGGTTTCAATTGAATTTTCACGAGTGATAAACAGTTTTTTAGTTGGTGACGGAGCGAAGGTATGGGCCAGGGAGATGGGGGTTGAAACGTTGCCTCCAGAGCAATTAATCTCAGGTTCGTTTACGATTTCTGATGGAAATTTTCCTTACATATTCACCGAGCGAGTAAATAATTTCGTTTCGTCATGTAAAAACCTAAATATAGGCTGGTATTCAGATTTGTTACTTATTTTTAAGATCTCCTTAAGCACTTGCTTAAGTCCCTGTTTCCTGTACAAGATAGAGACTGGAAACACGGATATCAAATGCTCAAGACGATCTTAAGAATAAGCAACGACTCTGAGTACCGAGTCATTGAAAGAATATTGTATAAATTGTGATTTGGTATGAAATAAAATAACAGCGAAGGCAGAGAAGATGTACAAGCACTATAAGAGGAAAGTGGAGGACTCCGGTGAAGAGGTTCACAAGGTATGGCTTTGCAGAGTGAATCAACAAACGAACAAACGAGTAATTGTTTGAACATCAGGTTTCCAAGCAACGGATGGACACGGTGGGGGCTGTTTGTGTCGACGGCGAGGGAAACGTGGCCAGCGCCTGTTCCAGCGGCGGAATAATACTCAAATATCCAGGCAGGGTTGGGCAAGTGAGTTGCTTTTGAATAATCGAATCGATTACTCACGGGAAGTATTTATTGGTGAACGTGGTTGTCGGAAGGCAGGAATGTGGGGATGCGGTGCCTGGGCCTCTAAAGGCTCCGTTTCGGTGGCCACGAGCACCTCCGGCTGTGGGGAGCATTTGATTCGTACCACTCTGGCTAGGACGGTGGCTGAGAAAATCGCGAACGACGCTTGCCCCATCACTGGCCTTCATCGAGCCATGGAAAACGAGTTCCTAAGTAACGATTCATTCATTCCAGAATTTTTAATTAACTAAACGATTTAAATAAATTTACGCTCGCGAATTGCGTATAGCACTCATATATAGGATGAAATTCTGAGCAAGAAGTTCCTTTTCCATTTTTCTCTACGATCATTATTAACGAAGTTATTAACGAAAAACTATGGTACCACTGCCCCTAAGATGTCATTGATCCACGTTTTCCTTAATTGTAAAGAAAAATGGTAGAGGAACTTTCGACTCAGAATTCCTCCCTCTTCCAGATCCTCCAGATGAAGATCATGGATTCTGAGAAGCCCTGTATAGAAAAAGGTATCGCTTTGAGGTAAAAAAGGTAAACCTTTTGTTTCCATATTTCAGACTCTAGGTTCTTGGATGGATTGGAACAAAAACTCGGAGGTGTAGTGGCCATTAGGTATTCGCCACAGGAAGGCTCCGGCGATTTTCTTTGGAGTCACTCAACGAACTCGATGATCGTCGGGTACATGAATTCGAACGACCAGACGGCGACGGTACGGTAAATTAATTGATTAAGAAATAACCAGACTTTATGTAATTAAGCCATTTGATCATCAGAGTCACATGGCAGTATTGCCATCTCAGGAGGTCGGCAGAAAAACGACTGTGGAGGGCATCTGCTTCAAACTGAATTGAGATACAGACGAATCAATTGTAATAATTTTACAATAAATATACACCCAATTTCCTACCAATTTTATGAATGAATTATCAATTCGAACGGTCATCAAGAATTTGTATATTTGGAAGTCGCCGCGGGGACTCGCTCTCGCGTTCAGATTGGCCGACCGAATCGGGCCCCTGCTATTGGCCAGTCCGTAAATCAAATACCCTACGGTCCACTGCACTGATCTCTATATAACCAGAGATGAAAAGGGAGATTGCTCATTTCTTTGTTCGAAAGTGGACAGGGCTCACTACCGCACTCTAGTGTCAATGTCCATTATTTAAGGGGAAATAGACGTAGTTTAGGAGGGACTGTGCACTATTCCCCTCAAGAAGTGGACACGCCGAAGAGAGCTGAAAATATACATATAAGATTTGCCATGCTCGTGCCCATGGACTTAAAAGACGGTGCCTAAAGTGGGATTATGGGCGAGGGGAGGGCTCCCAAAAGCATGAGGGGGAAAACAGCTCTGTTTGAGCCATTGAGCTATATAAAACATCTGGAGTGTGAACGAATGGGGGGGGTACGTTCGCCGACGAAGAGGAACCGTGAAGGAATCTCTTTCTCTTTTTAGGTGTATAATGCATGTTTTCTGAACCTGAACTCGAACGCGTATATGTCGAGTGATTGACAATGTTATAAATTCAAGTGATTCGATAGAATACTGAACTTCTATCCCCACCATAGTTAAATTTACTACAAGATAATACAAATAGAGAGAGAGAATATAAAAAGAAGGACAGAGATCCCCCATAGCTTCTCGCTTCTTGGAGAATCATCGCTACTCTTCTATCTTACGACTTTTGACAGCCGCGCACACTCCAGATATTTTATATAACTCAATGGTTTGAGCCACTGATCTCTATATAACACATATAGAGATCAGTGGTTAACACTTATTAAACTCAACGAATAAAGAAATTTATTTGAAATACAATATGAGTCTTATTTGCGACCGTACGATAAAAGTTCTCGAGGACAACTGAGACGAAGTTTCTTTGGCGTTGCTTAGTAAGAGTAAAAGGAACGTCTGGAACCGGAAGTTATCTCTTATTTGAATAACGCGCCGAATCAAAAGCCAATTTCATATTGCCACCTGTTGGTGGCAATTTCTGTGTGCCGCCGCCTGTCGACGGGGCACCTACATGTATATGGGTTCGAATACGTACGCTGTATGCATGCAGAGCATGCGCTCTGCTGCTGTTAAACAAAGAGAGGTAGTAAATTTCGACTTTCTAACAGCGCGTCAATTCCACTTACAGGCGAGCCTATGGCATCTATACTCTATCTATAATATCTCTATGGTTGGAATACGGACCGGGTTTTCAAGCGCATGCACGGCTTTTCAGCATCAGCAACGTATATACAATTTTCGATCAAATGGGCGCCGCGATCGCTCTGTATAATTACAAATTGAATATCAATTTTACCAACAACAGTCTCCGTGTCGGTCTTGTCCCGTCAATATTACTGGCAACAGTCTTCGTCTTGGTCTTTTCCCGCCAATATTACTTCCAGGAGTCCGAGAACCCCTTGGGTTCCAATATGTGCGCGCCAACATACGTTATTGGAAAAGTCGCGCATGCGCAAGAAAACGCAACCCATACCCCCCAACACTGGCTCGGTCCGAGCCGCTCGGATTCTCGGATTCGGGCTACTCAGCGTGGAGATATTTCTTCCCTCGAGGCTCGTTTCCCCCAGCTTCCCCTGTTTTTCGCCCGTATTTCGATCCCCACTACTCTTCCCCTCATACGTGCTCATGCGCGTTCGCGAAGCTCTCCGCAGCGTTATGGTCCCCACCATGGTCGCGTCGTCCCCACTTTGCGGCCGTGGGTAAAAATCTGGTAACGCTGGATCCCTGGTCTGTAGTCTGTGGGGTCTGTGGCCGAGCATTCATTCGCAGTCTTTCCAAGGCCTACTTTCGAACAAGTAAGCACGGTATTTCATCCGAAACTACATTGATCGTATTGGTAATTCTCTTCTGATCAACTAATAGTCATCCGAAAGTTTTGTGTATCGTGTGTTGCTGTGTATCATTTACACGCCGTTCGGTTTTCGTTCGTAACGGACATTCGTTAAACGTTATCTCGTAACACGTGTCTAACCTGTACGCGTGGTTACTTTATTGGAAATAGTTCAATTTTCTACGAGTGTACGTTGAAAAAGGTTAGTATCGATCTTTTCCGTAAGTGACTTAATGCGAAATTTTGAAAAGTATTTAATGTTAAAATCTCTCTTTACAGACCAGCGAAAATGCAGTTGCAAATCAGAGGAGAACGCACATCGGTGATCGAGACTACTGAAAATGAGACTGTTGCAGATCTCAAGGTATGGCTACCTTTTTAAATAAATTTGATGAACTCGTCCGTTAAGGGATTTTAATAGTAAAATCGCGGTGATAGCGTCATATGATAATCCAGAGAATGATAAGCATAAAACAAATTCTTTGGAATGAGCAACGGCGCGAGACTAATCTTAAGGCGACGGGCTGTGAGCCGATAATCGATGGTTGCAAATTCTATCTTGCACTCTTATCGATCATCATTCACAGTGTGCCGACACGTTATCAAAGACAAGAGAAATACAGATTATTCCAGAACTTCAATATTTCGAGAATACTTTCTGAACGTTAATCGAGGAACTAACGAGTCAAATTCTAATATATTCCTTACTAGCTATGTCTTTGATTGTTCTCATCAATTTCCTCCGCTAGAATGGAAATGCAGTAAATCCCGAAACCATTAAACAACGTTATCGTACATAATTCTTGTTGTAATCGAATTACGTATCGTTTCGCAGATGAAGATTGCCGCCGCGAACGGCTCCTCGAACACAGAGTTCAACTTATATTGCTCTAGTTACTTATTATCGGATGAAACGCTGATCGGCGATCTAACGTCGAACGTTTTGGAATTGACTGTTTCCCTCCCTGGTGGTGAGTATTATCGTATTGGAATTTATCATGGACTTACAAGGGGACCGTACGATCTTGGAAATCACTTTTCGAATGACAATGCGCATTGAAATCTCTCATGGATTTTTTCAAAATGGGCTTTTATTTTTGAGATATTTTGATTTTAAATTCTCAAGCACCATGTAAGTTGTTCTGTTACGCGTATTACCAAGATGTGTGGTGATTTGGCGTGTATAGTCGCTGATTATAAAGCCAGTAGTGTAGGATTCGAAGTTTTTATAAGCGAGAAATGAGCCTTTTTTTATTTAATTTGAATTGTCTCTAACGTGAATTTTAAGACAATCAAATTAATACAAATAGGATATACGCTTGAAGTAACATTGTTAGACCTGTTACTGTAATTTTCTGCAAATATGTTTGCACTGTAAATATATTTTCCTTTGTGAATTATTTCTGCCGAATTTTCTTTCGATGCAGATTGATGACCGAAGACAAACGTTCAGAAATCCTTTGTACAACGTCCACCCTCAACAAGCAGGTAAGAAATTATCTTTACTGCGAAACGTTATCGTAATCGTTAGATTACAGAAAATTTATTGTGTGAATCGTTCGGTACCTACGGCTGTCTATCAGGTATACAGGGGGTAGGCTAACGATAACGTCTCGCAGTAAAGATAATTTCTTACCTGCTTGTTGAGAGTCGACGTTGTACAAAGGATTTCTGGACTTTTGTCTTCGGTCATCAGTCTGCATCGAAAGAAAATTCGGCAGGATTAATTCACAAAGAAAAATATATTTACAGTGCGCTTGCAGAAAATTACACGTAAACAGGTCTAACAATGTTACTTCAAGCGTATAACCTATTTGTATTAATTTGATTGTCTTAAAATTCACGTTAGAGACAATTAGCATTAAATAAAAAAAGGATCATTCCTCTCTTATAAAAACTTTAAGAGAAAAACATATCCATCACGACGATTCGAATCCTACACTACTGGCTTTATAATCAGCGACTATACACGCCAAATCACCACACATCTTGGTAATACGTGTAACAGACTGACTTACATGGTACTTCAGAACTTTAAATCAAAATATCTCAAAAATAAAGGCTCATTTTGAACAAACCCATGATGGTTTTTCATACTAGGTATACACTATAAACTATAACTTAAACGCATTGTCATTCCAAAAGCGATTTTCAAGGTCGTGCGGTCCCCTTGTTAGGAAGAATAGGGCTCGAATTTATAGTCGATTCTCGCACTTGGCACTCAGCACTCAAGTGCGTCTAACCGTTCCGCGTTCAATGTACACATTTATGTTATGTTCAGATTCTAAAAGTTTTATACTTCATGTTTGAAAAAGAAGTGAAAGAAGCGGAAAAGGAGAAAAACTATTGCGCAGCTATTCCGCTACTCTGTTTAAACATAACAATGTGTACATTGGTGGGACGCACTTGAGTTCTGAGTGTCAAGTGCGAGAAGCGACTATAAATTCGAGCCTAGGGTCTGGACATACGTAGGCGGGGGATTGAAGCCAAATGAGGAGGGTCGTCAACCATCTTAGGATTTCGTTTTATAGTGGGAAATTTGAATAGGACTAAAGTCAAAAATATTTTATAGTACTTTCGAGGTAGATAGAAGAATAATATTGAAAATTGACTGACGTATGTGACGACTTGCAGACGACAATATACGTTAACCAATTGTACATTTTTAAAATGGGAAAGGAATCAATAATAATTGTAGAAATTCGTGAGAAAGTTAATATACATTTTATTGATTTTTAAAATGTACAAGCTTATTTACATTGTTCGCACGTTTTCGCTCTTATCTATTGACTTCGCCCATATAAAACTTACCTAACTTTTAAATATTTTTGAATAATGGCTCTTATGAAATGTACAAAATGATTTTCTAGTGGAGACTAACCTCCACTGTGTTCCTCAAAAGTCGCAAATACATTTTTATTTGAAAGAAATTTGATGAGCACTTGATTTTTTAAATATTCATTCGTATATTTCTTTCTTAAATACTGCTCACCACTTTCTATTGGTGTCGCGCTTAAAATTCTTTCGGTTTTTTCAAAAATGTTGATAACGTCTTCGGACGGACTCGTGAGACTTCCTTTACTTTTCAAATCTATTAACGTAGAACTTCTGCATTTAGTATTTCTTAGTGCTAGTAAACAAGTTTCATAGGCATTTTTTAGGAGAACTAACTTTCTGTCTTACGAATCAACAAAACACGTTCCTGCACGGTCTTTGTATTACTTCGTATTTCCCTCATAAAACGAAATTTTAAGATCGCTGACGGTCCTCCCCATAGACGTATAAGAATAGATCGCGCTAGGCATGGACGAGCCTGTTAGTGGACGCGATAGCCCATAGAAAGAGATGATACTGATACTTACTTGTCCTTGTTTAATCGCGCATACACGTTCAACGTTCTTTTAGTAAGAATGACCTATACTCAATAGGGCAAGCAGGGCGAATTTACGAATTATTTAAGATCAAAATTAACATGGGTTCTTATGGAGAAAACGTTCGTGTCGCGACATTTCTGTACACTAAGATGTGAAAACATCTAAACAATTCTTCATGAAAAAATATGTCATTCTTGAACATCTCACGAACAATTTCCAACATTTTAACATGAGCTACTGGGGTTCTTTATTAAGATATAAGCGTTTAAACAGAACAACTATCTAACTTTTCAATTTACTCCGAGCGAACGCGGTAAGACTTGGCAACGTTGCACCTTCCTTTACACACACACACAGTATGTCTATATAAATGGAAAAGAAACTTGCAGACGACTAATTTCTATTTTTTACGTGTATGAAGGATTCGAATTGTCAGTAATTATAATTAACTAAAGACTGAAACATGTACGAATGTAAAAATAAATTTATCTGTAATAATTATTTAACAATCACATTTATATTTGTTAGCGGCAGCTTATTTTTAAGAGTTGTCAAAGGATTCCTCGTATTTTATAAATGGCTTTACGATAGGGACCCAGCTTGCATGGGCCTTAAGAGGCTTTGCAAGGGTGGCGTCCAAATGGCGGGTGGCCCAAGGCCACGCGGCCATAAAATACGTTGGCCATGAGGAAACGTGGAAACAGTTAGGAAAGGTAAAACAGCTGGATGCGGTCTAGCACTAACAAACAAAGATATTGTTCTTGAGGATCTGGCCATAAATTTTTTAGTTGTACTAATTCATTATTTGGTATAATCGTAAAATTAATAAATAAATATTAAACGCGTAATTCTTTAAGAATTCAATAACTTTTGATAGAACTCTCTTATTTTTGGTAATTCTTACTTTATCACCAACTTTTTCTGTGAACAATTCATAAACACCTCGTTCTCAATTAATCTTATACTTTTGAAGAATGTTATCAAAGCTTATATTATCAACAGCGGTGCCATAACTTTTCCCTCGGCCGGAAAGTGGGGACGACGCGAACACGGTGGGGACCATAGCGCTGCGGAGAGCTTCGCGAACGCGCACGAGCACGCACGAGGGGAATAGTAGTGGGGATCGAAATACGGGCGAAAAACAGGGGAAGCGAGCCTCGAGGGAAAAGTCATGGCACCGCTGATTATCAATAGCTAATCTCTTTTATATATCTGCACGTCACAACCTCAAACGAAAGATTTCAATTGAATATCTAAGATGCAATATTGCCAAATCTCAGCGACATGCGCAGATGGGTCATTTTCACACTTTGGCGCCGCTCGGAGAGCGCAGTGGTACGCAACGTACACGTATGACAATCTCTGTTTAAGCAAGGGAAATGCATGGGTTCGAATTATGTTTAAGTTGAGCATGACTGCACCCGGAGAACGTCCTTTTAAACAAGGATAGTCAGGCACCAGTATACAACTTTCTCTCTCTATCGCTCTACCGACTTTTCGGCCAAGTCCCACAGTCTCGCGACTCTCGCGGCTATTTTTATGTGGTTCTCCCTCTTGATTTCAACCACGCTCCTCCACCTCTTGACTTCCTATGTCCAGTCCCTATATTCCTAAGTTCGTGGAATTTATGGAATGATCGATCGATCAATTGTCAATTGATTAATATTTTTTATTTAGGTAAGGTCCACGGTTCTCTGGCTCGTGCTGGAAAAGTGAAGGCTCAGACACCGAAGGTACGTTTCGGATCAATTTTCACGTATAAAGAAAGGCAGCGTTGGGTCCCGTTCAAATTAATTGATTAAATGTACAACGGTGTGACACGTACTTGGTTCGTTTTAGGTGGAGAAGCAGGAGAAGAGCAAGAAGAAGACTGGAAGAGCCAAGAGGAGGATCCAGTACAACAGGAGGTTCGTGAACGTCGTCCAGACATTCGGCCGCCGACGTGGACCAAATTCTAACTCTTAAATAAATCTGTCTATGCATTTGCAATTTTATTGTCAACAGAATGATAAGCAAATAAAAAGAAAATACAAACGAAGAGTTAAAGTATTATACCTCATAACCATGTCTTATAAGTCGTTAGTCGAATTTGATCCTCTCTCTCGAGATATAGAGTCTCCTGGAATGCATGAGTTTCAACCTAAGAGCGCAATAGAAGAGAATCGTCACCTAAACGATTGGTAAAACCAGGAAAGGAAAAAAAAGAAGGGAAATTTCTTGTATTATAATTCTGTTTTACATGTTTAAAAAAAATCTTAATTCACCTACTATTTACAATTATTTAATTCTGTCGAGCACGCGTCGAAGTTAATTTCTCGATTTGAAATCTCCGGTATTACAATTCGAATATCCAATCCCCGCGTCCGTCGATAATCAATCAAACCTGCGATAACGGGCAAGTTAATTATTTCGTAGTTTCACACATCCATCGATGTAGTTTACGTTTTAAAATCTATGTTAAAATTCACCTTGAGAATTTAGTATTGAGCAAGGAGTTCCCTGATATCCCGGCAAAGGGTAGCGAAGTCGGGCCTCTGATGGCTCTCGAGGTGCCAACAGGGGTACATCAGCTTAACGTAGATCGCCTGAGGACAGGTCAAAGGGCAGGGCAGCCTTGTTCCCCTTTCCAACGCTGCCAGCAGCTCCGTGTTACCCTTTTTTATCTCCTCCTCGTTCGTCTGCATCCGATTGCCTTTACAGGCTGTCGAATCGAGCCCGGGGAGCTGGGGCTCTTCGCCGAACGCGAACGTCTCGTACATCGTCACCCCGAACGACCAGACGTCGGATCTTGTAGAGAATTTACCGTAGCTGATGCTCTCTGGCGCATACCTAAATACGGGATCAAGAATCGGAATATTGTTGAACTTCGATTGTTGGTAACTTCGTTAATAACGAGTCAATTCAGTTCGTTTGCGGCTAAAATTAAAGACTGAAGTCTCTACTCTCTGTTATTTCGTTTGTTGATTTTACCTAAATCAACTCCTCAACGGTGAAAATCGTTAATGAAGGAAAATATGACAAATTCCCAAAGAAAAATAAAAACTTCGATTGTTGATAACTTTCTTAATAATGAACGGGTTCGTTTGCGGCTTAAAGCTTGAGCTTTTTTAATTCGGTTGATAAATCGATTAATTAACCGAGGGAGAGAAGGTCGAGCTTACCATTTGATGGGCAGCCCTCTGTCAGTCTGCAGAATATAATATTCGTTTTGTCCGGTGACTTGGGCCAGCCCGAAATCGCTGATCTTCACTTTGGTTTCATCGGCGACTAAGATATTCCTCGCAGCCAAGTCCCTGTGGACTATGTTCATGCTTCCCAAGTAGTCCATGCCCGTGGCAATGTCCAACGCAAAGCCTAACAATCGTTTGTGCGACAATTCTTGTTTGTGAATTGTCAAATAACTTTGCAACGAGCCGTGCTTTACGTATTCCATCACCAGGCAAACCTCGGGCTCGGAGATCACGCCGAGAATTTCCACGACGTTCGGATGCTTCAGAGTCTGTAATAAGTATTTTGTTATCGTATAAAATTTCGTCACATACCGAGATTTGTATCTCGGCAACTATAATTTTGATCGAAATGATTCTTGGATATATTCTACATATACCATTCCTCTAGCTTCCCCGTAAAATTCAGCTGTCTACTCTTAATAACATCTTCGACACGATCGTTTATACGAATAGTGTTTAGTGATTTTGATTAGAGTGTTGATTGTTTTACTATTTGGTCTTTTAATTGTAGTTACTGAACTGGTACATATATCATTATGAAACCATTGACAAGCCGACACTTAGGACCTTCCTAAAGATCACGCTCAAGTTTCATTCGATTCCCTCTATTATAATGAGTTATTGCATATTTAAGGAAATTATTTCAATGAGAAACTGAATAATTATTATAGTACTTGGTTTCTTAATTATTGTTAATGAACCGGTAAAAATTTCTTTATAAGACATGAGAAACACTTAGATAATATCCTTCTAATAATTCCTTACAAATTCCATCTATCTACTGTAAATTACATGAACGATACGCTCATGTATATCCCAAACAGCGATTTACCTTCATAATAGCAATCTCCCTTTCGAAATCCCTAATATCAGCCTCCAACGCTTTCGTCTTCAGCTTCTTAACAGCAACCTGTTGCGGTTCACAATCCTTCCCGTTCTCCCTCTCCAACGTCCCCCTGTAAACCTCTCCATAAAACCCTTGACCAATTCTCCCCTGTAATATCACATTACAGTCGATGTCCAGCTCGTAAATCCCCCTCATCTGTCCAAGAGATCCATTATGATTCCCAGCAGAATCCTCCCCGGCTCCGCCGCTTTCGTTGATCTCGTCCAGATCGTGGCTCAAACGGAGCTGTGTCGAATGTTCGATTCGTTCGATATCCGAAACGTCGTTGCAGTCGGTATCCCTCGTGCCGTTCGACAACCAGCCGAGGTAAGCCGAGAGTTCTTCCGTGCTCCCGACGCAATTGTCAACGGTCACCTCACCATGGGTGCTCTCGTCAGTATCGTTCCACTGCAGGCTAGTATTCTCCGTCATCAAGCTGCTGCTCCTCGACTCGCTGTTCAACGACCTGCTGTCGCTCGAATCCGAGTTCTCCGGATTGTCCTGCTTTTTCAACTCCGAGCTGAACTGCTTGGGAAACGCCGTGGCGTACGAATGGCTCCGCCTAGAATTGTACACCTGATACAATATCTGGTTGATGTCTCTCATTATGGCTTGCGGCTGTTTCCTGGACCCGTTCCCCTCGCCCCAGCACTCCCGCATCAATCTATAGACCTCCGTGGGGCAGTCGATAGGGTTCGGAAGCCGCTTGCCCGACTCGTAGTACCGCTTCATCACTGAGGCGTCTTTAAATTCTTGGAGCGTCGCCCCTCTCGCGAATATCTGCCAGATCGTCGTGCCGACCGACCAGACGTCCGCCTGGAAGCTGTGCCTAGCCGAGTCCGGGTCGTTGTACGCTTCCGGTGGGAGCCAGTGGATGTCCGTGTCCTTGTAGACGAAGATCCCCGGGTCCGACAGTTTCACGACAAAACTGTTCAATGTGTGAGCATGCACCAGCAGCTTGTTGCACCTAAAGAGTCGGAAGGCGGTGAATGTTCGCTGCGAAGCGAACGTGTTTTAGCATGAGTAAACTGCGGATCCTTATGCAAAATAAACCATCTATAAATGAATGTAGAAAATGAAATCGCCACGATAGTTCTTTTGTATTTTAAAAATCATAATTTATACTTCACTCCTTGAACATTTTTCTATAACTGCATAAAATCCGCAATCTACCGATGATGCCGTGACATCGGAGTCTCATTTCCTCTACCCTCAATAATTACCTCCGAATTGTCACTCCGATAAACAATTTCCATGTATCGATCGCCGTTCATTACCCACCTTATATTCCCATGCACGACGCCGTTCTCTTCTAAATGCCACAGAGCGGTCGCTAAACACGCCGTTGCCTCGACCATGTCCACGGTTTTAATGCTCTGCGGGCAGCTTCTCAAATATTCATCCAATGGACCCTTGCGCACCAGTTCCAGCAACATCCCGATGACAGGTGTCACCGTCAATCCGTACAATCTGACTAAACTGTCGGATCTGAGCTGCGCCCATTTACCAGCCAATGCCAGGAACTCCTTGGTGCAGCTCGGCTCCTCTTCCTGTTTCAACAGCTTCAACGCGATCTCCAGCTTCTTCCCCTTGGCCAACCTCCAGATCGCCCTCCTCGACGTCGTCGGCGTTGTTTCGCTCGAAACGGAGTTTAAAAACGATTTATATGGTATTTCTAATTGATTTCGTGGCACGCAACGCGGTCCGGTTTCGAGAACAGATGAAACGATCTCCTCGTCGGCCGCTACTTCACTCGCGGAACTCTCGGGAGCGCATAGAAGTAAAAGCGACTTGTCGTATTCAGAGGGTGGCAAACACTCACAGAGATAAGGTCGTCCCTCAGAGTCGTGGAAAGCTGACGCGCACTGATTAAGAGAGCTGAACACACCTTCTACATTGTTTATTACAAATTCGCTTAGGTTCTCTTCGATCCTTTTCGAAAATAACTTCCCATTCTTGTTACAAGCGTCTAAGTAATATACATTATATTCCGTCTCGCTTTCCCGTAGGATATACGCGCCGGCTTTGTCGCCTCTTTTCTCTTTTAACTTTGAATAAGAGAATTCTTGGCCCACCGGTCCGTGGCACTTCATCCTGTGTAGCCGCTCTAACGACGGTGCGACGAGCTCGCCGCAGAGGTTGAACGTCCACTTCACCGCCAGACGATAATAACCATCCAATGCCGAGACGAACGATGTTAATTGGGAGCTTTTTGAGAATTTTAAATAGGAGGGAATACCGTTTTTCCTTGAGATCTCTACGGTGTTGTCCTGTCTGATGGAGACGAAGCAGAGGTCCTCGATCAGGCAGAGAGTGGTCCAAGGAGAGGGGCTCCCACCGCTCTGCGAGGAGTATTTCACTTCCTCGCAGTTCACTCGGATCGTGATTTTTAAAGGGACATTCTGCAGATCACGATGCATCAATGCTTCGTACTCCTCGTACGGATAATTGGGCGCCATCGATTCGAACTGTTTTAAGTATTGTTCTTTCACGTAATTCGCATCGTACCCGCTTATCTTTCGTAGAGCATTGTGTATGGGCTTCTTTATGAAGAACGCGTGACGCTTTATGCATTCCTTCGGGATGTATTTACGGTATTCGGACTCGACTGTTTCTCTCGGTATCTTCTTCTCCAACATTACTCTGCGATAGTGACAATGTATCAGACGGGAGAATATTTTTTAAATATTTATCGGTAGTTAAACAGTTGTTATGTTCATAGGAAATTGTATGAAGTTATTTTGATTAAAACGAAAGGTACATTTTAAGTGATGCAGGTGAATTGGATCAGGAATTTTCGTTAAATGTATTTTCGTTAATTATTATAGGCAGATTTATGAAACATAAAAACACTTACAATTAGATAGAACCGTCCTGAAGGTTTTTTACAAATTTCATAAGGTTCCCTTCATTAAAACCGAATATTGCATATTATTGTAATTTGAAGTAAAGAAGGAATGAATTAAGGTCGATTGAGATAGTGCAAGATAAAATAAGATTAGATCCCAAACATAATCAATTGATAAATAAATTAACAATTCATCATTAATCACCTGTACATATCACTGACTCCAAGCCCGATCAGCTCCTGTTTATGCTTCTCATAAACGATATCTGGCACCTTGTTCTCCATCACATCAGCCCTTGCTTGTTGAAAATAATAATTGTATGCATTCCCATCAATGTGTTTTAACCTCTGTATACTCGATGGCTTGAATCTTAGCCGAAAATCGAACTTCTTGTCTTTTGATGACAATGTATGACCCACTGGATACCATAGCTTTGTGCTGTGATTCCTAAGCGCAAAGAGGTGCCTGGCCACCGGCCCGATGCCCAGTTGTCTGCAAACCTGCGATCGATCGTTGAATCAAGATGAGAATCAATATAATTTTTTATTTATAAGTGAAACGAAGGAAGCAATATTAAACGCAAAGGTGGGGAGAGTTTAAGAACGAAGAGGCTAACCTTGATGCAGAGGTCTTCGATGGTTTGATCGTGGCCGAGGCTCACCGTCAACTCCTTGTTCTCGTTGGCAACGTAAACGATCGTCCAGCGATCGTTTTCCATTGTCAAATAACAATCGGCAGCGATTTAATTGATAAAACTACATCCTATCTCGTTTGATCCGACGTGCACAATAGTGCACAAGTGCACAGTAGTAAACCCAAATAAACCCAGTGGACAGTGATGTAAGATTTGCGGAATTTCGATCGCAGCGCGTACGGTGAAGAAAGATGGAACTAAAAGTCTTATGATCATAAAAATGTAGCTGCAACTGCTTGAATTGTATAGTTTAAACCGGAAGTATCCCGGTGATGTCAGTCCGATCCAACCTTTATAGCGCTTTGTCCAATCCCTTATTTACACAGGCTACTTCTACTTTAATACCTCTTTTATTTTCAGCATGGCTAAATATTTAGGGGGTAGACTCCGATATCGGCGTGATAAAGCAGAATGTTAATTGCCCACAAAATGAGTAAAAAATATGAATTTACAAGAATAGACGTTCCGTTCTTATATGAGAATATTTTTCAGTCGTCAGGTATCTCTTCAGAAAGAGAAAAGTCAAATTTGGCGCGCTCTGGTCATTATTTCAATGAAAACAATTTGTTTCGAATGAAAAATCGCTTATAAACAGAAGCATTATAACTACGATTTTTCGTCCATATTATAACACTCATATTACTAAATATCAGCATATTAAATAATGAACAGGGCGTGCCAGATTTGACTTTCCTCTTTTTGAAGAGGTATCTGATGAACGGAAAATATTTTCATACAAGGACCAAAACTGTATTCCCAATATTCCCATATTTTGCACAATTTTGGTCTGGTTACCGATATAACAGAACAATAAACGTACAAATTTTACCAACGCGTGTTAGAAAAGTCACGTGACTGCCCTAATCGAACCACAGAAGAGTCATCTATCTATACATCTTATTAAACGTATGACCGCGCGAATCGTTCAATAATATTGAGCACGCGCACTTCCCATAAGCTGTCAACCCCGGTCCGGTCGTTAACAAATTTCCGCTTCCCCAACGCAGTCAGTTTAGTTCGTGCATTTTTTCCTAAATGTAAAACAAATTAGGTGGACAAAAATTATCGTCGAGTCAATCGTGTGAATCGTAGAATTGACGGGTGAATGCACGCGCGGAAACAGTTTGTTAAGATCGATCGGAACACGGAATGGCATACTCGCGGTGACTGGGTAGAGTGGAGAGTGTCGAGGTGTTTCCGCGCACGATTTCTCAATTTACATTCCGTATCTCTGTGTGTCGATCGATTATAAAAGTTTGAGAGGTGAGCATGAGTAACAATAACAATTCCTGCGCATATTGCACGATGGAGCCGCCGCCGGATATATTACGGATCCCGCCGCCGCCGTTCCCGTCGATCTTACAAAGGAGCCACGATTTCTATCAACCAGCAACGGAGCTGTTCGACTTCCCGCCGCATCTGAATGACAGTCCCTGCAAACATTTCTGCGACAGGCGGTTCGAAGGCGTGCAGTACATCGAAATGCCTCAGCAAGGTACGCAGAGAACTGTGACTTCGTTTCATAATTATTATTAACGAACCGGTGAAGATATCTTAATGAAACTTGGGAGGCGCTTAAGTAGAAGCCTCCTAAAGGTCTTTTATTAATTTCATTCAATTCCAACTGCTGTAAGCAATGTTACGATAACTTGAGCCTACAAGTGTCAATCAAGAATCAGTCAATTGCTCTAGTAATCAGTTTTTAATTATAATACTAAAACCCGTGATCTTAATGAAACTTTACAGACATTGAGATAGAACCCTTCTGAAGATTTCATCAAATTCCCTCCATTAGAACCGAAATTATTACAATTTTAATTGAACAGTTCCAATCTGCAAATATGTATACAATGAATACAATAATCTTGACAAGATCGTTTAACAATCATAGGAACCGTGTTCGATGACACTTGGTTGCTGGTATTGATCTCATCCTGTGTCGGCGTGATTTTTGTCGGTATCGTCCTAGCCACTCTGCTATTAAAATGCAAATTGTAAGTAACAGATATCGAACGGTAAACAATACGATTATACTCGATGTTCGTGTCGTTTCGTAGCAACAGAAGCTGCAAGAACGGAACGATCTCCGTCCCCTGTGCCGGAGCCGCTATCCAAACGAAGAACGAAGCCGTCCGTTATCCCTGCGCCGCGGATTCTCTGCAGGACAGCCGAGTGATGTGGGCGGCGTTGACGCCGCGCGGCACCACAAGACATTACCTAGAGGAACATACTTACGAAACGATCGGCGCTAGCAACAAGAGAGCCCCGCCGACCGAACATGTAAAACTCAAGGCAATTTTTATAAATAAGAATACCTCGTCGTTAATTTATATACACATAACGATGGATCGAATCGATAAACGATGATCGTTGGCGAACGTTCGAATAATCTGAAGGCAGGTCGTCGAAATTTCAGACGTACGCGGACCCGCCTGTTGCCAGCAGCCCGATACAGAATCGTTTGCTGAAGGAAGACGACAAGGCGTTCGATAACACGGCGTTCGTCGACTACGAGGAGCCCTCGTTGCTGATAAGGAGCACCGATTGCTATCAATTGAACGATGTGCCGGACTTGAACGATCCAGGTACGTGTTATAGTTGTATTCGGATACACGGCTAAATTCGATTGTTCGCAACCTCCTCAATAACGAACCGATTTAATTCGTTCACAGCTTAAATCTAAGTTCATACTTTCCCCTTCGATTCGGTTAATTTTGCAATTCTACCGAAATCCACTCCTAAGTGAGAAATATCTATTTCGAATGGAACCTTCTCCGATTTTGAAAATTCCATAAGCAGTAGTGTTCACAACTTCGTTAATAATGAATTAATTTGCTTCGTTCACGTGGCAAATTCAAGCTTGAAATCTCCAGTTTAATTCAGTCTCTTTTAAAATTCTGCCTGAATCTACTCCAATTGAAAATATCGGTTTCGAATCAAGGTCACGTCCAAAATTCTATCCTTCAACTAAACCAATGTATTCCCTGAATTAAAAATTGCAGGGATGCAACGGGTAACGCAATCGAGGCCGCGCGTCAGCTCGCCGACGAGGATCGAACATCCGAACCTACCGCCGTTGAATCTCCACCCCCACAAGAGGTCGTCGAGGAAGGGTTTAGGCACGCCTTCCCATCCGTCTGACACGTTACTAAGAAACAGCATCGCCTCCTCCACTTACATACCGACTATCTAAGATATGCGAAATAGCCAGCCATCGATTAATTACCAATCATCATCCGTACTTATAAATAATAACCAGTCATTAATCTCTACTTAAAGCGTGAAGAATGGGCTAACCGGTATTTAACGTTAGAACTACCGACTTTTTCTATATATGCATTTTTACTCATTAAGAACCAAAATCATCCCGACATTTGGTTTAATAGTTCTACCGTTAAAACGAGTTTCCGTCTGTATCGCTGGACGACTGTTAGAACGAATTAGTTCGACGCACATAGAATCGTATTTAATGTGGATGTTGAATATTTATATGAAACGAATGATATTTACGTGTATTGTATTCTGCGCGACATAAGCTTCGGTCGTCAGTAGTAGTCTACGATTTATCTAGTCTACAATTTTCCTAGTCTACAGTTTATCTAGTCTTACGACGTTCACTCTAACCACAGTTATTATTGTATAATTAATTAATTTTTTCGTTTTCGTTAATCGTTTTTGTATTATATTTCAGAGTTCGCCAGGATTCAGGAGAGCGATTGATATGGTTTGTAGAAGTTTCTGTTTAGTTTCTCAGGTTCATAGGTGACAAGCATCGTCATGAGACGGCGTTTAAATGTTTCTTATTAACCATGTAATTATTATTTTAATACGGAAACGACATATAAGTAAATGAAATAAATGAATTAATATGAAATGCTTTTATTTCACTGTGCTCCACGTGAGAGGATTTGAATGAATGCGCGTGGATCTATTTTTATATATCTATGCTCCTGCGCGGCGCAGGTTTCTCACGCAGGCCGCCATTTTGCATTCCCGGCTGCGTTCGCTTTTTCGTGGCCCAGTCGTGTTTATACTCGTTTTATTGCTAATTCTGTTTATTATTTGTATTAATTATATTTTTAAGTGTTTATTTTGTGAAACATATACACACGCAACGATGGAGAACAAGGAGAACAAGCCGAAATTGCTCAGCTGCATGATAAAAGGTACGGGCAACAATCTTGATTCTGATTGAGCCACGCTGAGACGCGATTCCTCCGCAAGGAATGCTGATTCATTTGATTGGTTTATAATTCCTCATTTGAAATATTTCAGGCCCGGCACCGATTTATAAGTTGCAGACTCTGGTCGGGTATGACGGTCATTGTTTGTCGAAGCACAGGGGTCCAGCTTATACCATGAGACCCAGAACAGATATGAAATTGGAGAGCGTTGGCCCTGGTCCAGGGTACAACGTGTCTAAACTGACTAACTATGGTTTGGATAAGCCACCGGCATTCAGTATCATTGGCAGGGAACCGTTCAAAGGTTGTTTCTTAATTTCAAATTTAATATACATGATTCTATTAGGTTTGTCAGTGACAGGAAGCTGAAAAAGATCATGGAGGAAGTGTATTTAGAACATATCCAAAAATCGTTTTGATTGGAATTGTAGTTTTCTAGATAAATATTCTATAGGTGGTCTTATCGAACCACAGTATTAAAATCGTGATTTTATATTAATAATTCTACTGACAAAAATTGGTAAAGCTAGGGGTATAATATGTCTAGGACATATTCAAAAGCCGTTTAAATAGCTCTGATAGTTTTTGAGAAAATAGTTCCTAAAATTCGCGACCTCTCGAAATTTGAATAACATCTTGTCGCAGTAAGGGACTTAGGTCCGGGACCAGGGGCGCATTACCCTGAACTCTGTCCACCAATGAACCACGACAAGAGGCCTCCGGCTTACTCTATCAAAGGCAGAGGCGTCACGAAACTGGAAGATACTGGGCCTGGGCCGAACGCTTACGTTTTGCCCACCTGCATAGGCCCAAGAATTCCTGACAAAGTAGCCCTAGGTGCTTTCTCCATGTACGTCCAGTCCATTTTTCTCCCGCGTTTATTCCTGATCTTCCTCTGCATTTAGGTTCGACCCTTGACTTTAAGCCTCTTCGAATCCTTTATTTTAATATTGACAATTGATTTCAGTGCCGGTATCCACAAGCTGAAAGATGTTCGGATCGGACCAGGACCAGCAGCGTATACGAACGTGGATTACGATTTGATCAAGCGAGCCGCTCCTGCCTACAGCCTCAAATTCAGGACTCAGTTAGCGGACGTCGATATAAGCCCCGGGCCTGGCTATTACCCTCAATATGACCCCGGAAGACGAGCTCCCTTATACTCGTTCGGCATTAGGCACAGCGAGTGTGCCGGCCTGCCCATCACAGATCTCGACGAGGATTGACGTTCTCATCGATCAACAAATATTTGTATATTAATTACTATTACTATTACTAATAGTATTATTATATAAAATCTGTACAGTATCGAAGTTTGTATATAATTGTAAATTGGAAGATTATATGAGATAACTGGCAGAAATTTGTAACAGTATAGAATTTGGATGATATTCGAGAGCGAAAGGTAGAACGAGAGGGAATAATAGAGGATAATTGCAGGTGTACAATCGACGAAGTACTTGCCCTATAAATAGATTCCTATTCTGGTGGGTTCAACTTGCGGCCAGCGCAAAATTACTCAGTGCCCTGCGTGCCGCGTGGCAACGAGGTGTGTTGCTCCTTTGAGATTTCCGAAGAATACATGAGGGGGATTAATGGACGACCAGAAGATTTGCAGGATTTGCAGTAAGGCATCGGTTCTAAAATGCAGCGCGTGCGAGGACGTGTACTACTGCGGCAAGCGGCATCAGAAGAAAGATTGGGACGAGCATTCGAAGCTCTGCAAACCCTTTAAGGTACTTGTAAATGAATGAATGAATATTTAATTGATATATAAATTAATGAAATTTGATCGCAAGGTTGCGCGAAACGAGCTGCTAGGGCGGCACTACGTGGCCACGAGGAATATAAAGGCAGGAGAGATTGTACTGAGGGATGAAAAGCCGATGGTGGACGGACCTATGAACAATTGCATGCCAGTTTGCCTACGGTGTTATACGGTATTGAAGAAGAGTATCGCCACTCCTTGTGAGAAATGTGGCTGGCCTTTATGCGGCAAATGTAACGAGCACGGACTGGAATGCGAATTTACCACGTCGCGCAGGGAGACCAAGGTAAGACACGTTTCTAGTATGAGCTATATTTTATTTTATATCTTCGTTAATAACGAATCGATTTAATTCGTTCACGATTCAAATTGAAGTTCATTTATTTTTACGAATTTATACGAAACATTTAGTTTAATTCAGTTTGTTTGACAATTTTAGCTAAATCGATTTCTAAGCGATGAAAATGAATATTTTAATCAAGCTTGGAAAACTGTAAATATTCTATTGTAACGAAAATAATCGTTTCACTTAAATCGTTAATAATTTCGTTAATAAATAATGAACGTTCTTATTTTGTTCGTGGCTCAAATTAAAGCCTGAACCCTGTTTCTATTAGCTCGTCTAAAGAATTAGAATAAATCTATTCCTAATGGTTGAAAATTAAATTTGTATGAAATCTCATTCCTATACTTATTCGCATGCAATTAAACGATCGAATGAATTAAATGTTTCAGGTGTCTATAACGGAGTTCGACTATCCGCACCCTAGCTACCGATGCATAAGCGTGATAAGAGCTCTGTCGCTGAAAACGATCCGTCCAGAATTGTACGAAAAATTCTTGTCCCTAGAGAGCCACAGTAATCTCGTGAACAACGAGGGCGGGTTCACATTTGAACGGCCGTTGGACGTCGTCAGTTTCGTGAAGAGATTCTTCAAGACGGATGACATTACAGACGAAGAAATTAAGAAAGTGATCGGTATTATACAGGTAGAATTTGTATCAGAATAACTACAGCGAGCCCGATGCGATTTACTTTCACTTGTTCCCTCATTCTTTTCGTTTATATCGTGTCATCCAAGTATTTTACCTCGAAGAATGTTATACGATCTGTGCAACATTCAGTTTTCTCGTTTTACGAATCGCAGGTAAATGGGCACGAGGTTCCTCTTACCGAGCCAGCATACGTCGCGGTTTACGAGCAGGCGTCGTTGCTCGAACACAGTTGCCGGGCAAATTGTTCCAAAAGCTTCACGGACTCCGGCGGACTCGTCGTCCACGCCGCAGTACCCATCACCAAAGGTAATCAAACAGAAACGTTAATTCCTAATTGCTGTTCGATCCGAGCAATGGAGTTCGAATCTGTCATTTACAAACTCTGTTCAACTGTTTAGGGGAGCACGTGTCGATATGCTACACGGACCCTCTATGGGGCACTGCGAACAGGAGGCATCATCTCTGGACGACGAAATTCTTCGAGTGCGTTTGCGAACGCTGCAGAGACCCTACAGAGTTCGGCACGATGTTCAACGGGTTGAAATGCGATCGGACGAAGTAAATGCTCTTGTACTAAGAGTCTGCTTCGAAATAGATGACAAAAACAAATCTGTAAATGTCGATAAATTTGTTTAGGTACTGCCAAGGATGCATGCTGCCGGCAAGCTTTCTGGGGTTGGAACCGAGCGACTACGCGTGCGACGTCTGTTTGTCGACGAAACCCATCGAGGAAGTGGAGGGAACCTTAATGGACATCGGCTTACACCTTTCCGACATGAGGAAGCACGACGTCGTGGTCTGCAGACATTTTCTTCATCACTATAAAGACGTTCTGCATGAAAATCATTATTACAACGTCGACGTGACGGTGGCGCTGAGTCAACTGATCGGGCAGCAGGCCGGAGGACTGGCGACCGTCGAGGAAAGCTTTCTAAGCGAGAAGATCGATCTTTGCAAAAAGCTGGACTGCTTGCTGAGGACGCTGGTTCCTGGTAATTAGAATTTACACTGTTTCGCGTGCACGAGAGAGCAACTGAAGTGAACGGGGTACGATCGATTGTTCAAGCCGAGAACCGGGTGCGGGGGCTGATACTCTTCGAGCTGCACGCGGCTCTCGCCGAAGTCAGCAGGAGGCACCCCGAGGCTGACAATATCAACACGTTGTTGGTAAATATCGTAACAAATTTTGTTCTAAGTTAAGGGAATCGAATGAAACTTGGGAGAAACTTGTAGGAGGGTGCAGTCGAAGTGTCTCCGAAGTTTCATAACGACATCTGTAACGATTTAGAATTTACGAACGAGAAACCAAGTAGTATGTACATTTCTTTATTATTGACAATGATTTATAGCTTCAAATTGTAATAACTTTGGTTGTAATTAAGGCAATCGAGTGAAACTCACAAGAAACCTTCACTAGTCCTCTATTTAAATGTCTTTAAAGTTTCATAAATCTATGTTTAATAATTTCGTAGTTAATACAAATGATAGGAAATATTTTAAGAGGTATGATGTATAATATGCTCTGGCTTGCAGTGTACTAAATGCAATAACAATAAAATAAAAAAATTCTGACAGTGACATTGCCGGTTGGAGTTATAAGGGTGTAATTTTTAATAGGAGTCGAAGAGGGCGTTGGCCGATGCTTATCAGCTACTGAAGTACGAGCCGAGGTGTCTGCCGGAGGGGAAGATAGCTTATCAGGCCGAGAGAAATCTGCGGGAGATGAACAGTCTTCTCAAACGACTCATGGCTGAATAACTGATTAGAAACGTGTGAATAAAGATTAAAAATTAGAAGATTATGTATCGAAGGTCCCCGATCCCAAGGTACAACGACCTACTCTGAATCCTTGATCTTCAAATGTCCTCAAGCTTAAATTAAATATCTTCGGATATTGAATTGAATGTCTTTAATTCTATTCATTCAAATTACCGCGGCAGAAGGGTAAACACTTGAATTTTATCAAGATTATCATTTGAACCGAATCACGTGGCATCCATGTGACATTTTTAGAAAAGAACTGGATAAATCATTAATGTTTTTATATAATTTTTTAAATGATTATATTTCTGGGGTTTCTAACATTTGACTTAAGTTATGTTTCATTCTGTTCAAATCTGTGCGTTAATAGTAAATATTACAATTTTAATGAAGTCGTATGGACGGAGTCACATAACATCTATAGAGAGTAGCTACATAAATTGTAAAGAATAACAATTTCAAGTAATGTTCTAAAGAATTGATCCACATTTCTGGAGGCTCCAGTTTTGATTTAAGCTACGTTTTATTAAAATCGATGCATTAATTTAAATTATCGCCGTCACGAGAGTGCATACCGGCGCTAAGAGCTAAAACCAATTTTCGATCGCTGCGCGCATCTGTCTCTTTCTTTGTAATGCTGTTCATGTCGTCGCTACTATGCGGATCTACGTATTCGGTTATCTCACTACCTCCGAGCTGCGTAAAACGGGTATGCTCTTTCGTGACGGCGATAATAGGCCGCCATTTGACTAAAGTGGTATCTAGTGACTGGTTCTCTTTTGACTAGCGTTCGAGTGCTCGTTAACTGAGCGAAGCTATATAGTGATCATCGCGTGCAATTTATTGCGTTAACAACAATTTAATAGTATTTAAACCATTCTGCGGTGCAACAGTCGGTCAGTTAAAAGATACATCGAAATATGGATGGAAGAATTGATTAATTCATGCAACATCTTGAGAGCAACAAGTGGTCGCGATTAAAACGTTTGTGGAATGCCTCTCGAGTGCAACGAGTGACCAAAAAGTTCACTTCAATAATAATAATAAGAGTTATATTAATGGTGCCTTGTGGTTGTTCAAAATGTGCAAACAGGCTGAAAATAACGAAAGGAACACGTTTTTGGCTATTGCGAAGGGCTCGGTGGAAATCCGGAAAATCTTGGGCCCGTGGCCCGTTTCATCCAAAATGTTGGAGACCGGGCAGGAGGGGCACGAGGTTCGCAGTTGTTGGTTCTTTCGAGGAGATCGTCGATTGGGAGCGAGGGATAAGTCCGGTAAGCGAAGTAAACTCGCTCGAAGAATGAAATGGACGAATTGTTCGTGTCCGATGCTTAATAAATTACATTAACGATTGAAATGAACTTGTTCATTGTCTTCGCTGATCTTCGACTCGTATCGCATAAGCACAAGAAGTATGCATCAGTCCATTCTGGAAACGCTCGAAGGAGGGGTATTTCAAAGGGCAGCAGCACGAAATTCTAATGGGAAAAGGGAAATTACGAGTGATTCATAGAGAACTTGGAGCCCTAATCATCCTGGAAGCTATCGCCCAAATAGATGGACATCGATTTCGCTTTATTATCGTTGCCTCTGCACTTGTAAAGTACAATGGTACGCCGTCCTCTTCCTTAGTGTCGGTACAGGGCATACGTAGAATCGTCGAGGACGGGCCGGCCGGGGGGATATGTCTATTCTCGGATTGTTGGCTCTCCCTCTCAGCCAAATTCGGCGCCGGGTAAACGTCAGTCCTCTTGTCGAATCCCGACGAACACTCATCGTTTACTCTATTCGTCGTTTTCGCTCAATTTTCGTTGATCAATATGTGAAAGTGCTTTTCACAAATTGTCGCCTCTTCCACCTGCCCCCACTGTTCATCACACGTGTACTTATTAAATTCAAGTAGAAACCATCTCTCTTGTGCAATTTTCATAATCGTGGTATCATCGCCCACGCTATAGATATTTACAATATTTATACACACAAGAGAGAGAGAGTGGTTGTTTTTATTGCTTTTGCTGGTGATTAGAACGAAGATTCGTTCGAAGGATTTGTTCTTTGGACAACTAATTGTATCTGTTTTATGTAAGTAGGTGCACCCTTCTTGTTGCTGCATCAAAATTAATTGTTGGGGAATTCTTCGAGCAAGTATTATATCGTTGATTATTTGAATTAGTAAATCAATCGTTCGATTAATTATTATTAGCCGAAACATGAAATTTTGTGAGAAATGAACGATACTCGCGTTTTAAAGAGGTTGAACATTACATAAAAGAGGATCCAGTCGATGGGAATTCGAATTCCTTTTTCGGTGAAAACTCGAGCGAAGCCTTCTTGGGCTCTTGACTTCCTTTTTCGAAAACGATACCACTTTCAACACACGTGAGTCACCGTTTAAGTCATTGCTGTACACGGTTTAGCACAACTTAACGTAATGAATGTTTCTACTATTATTTCAGCTACGATAGTTCGCGCGATAAATGATCTCACGATTGATGTAATAATTCATGGTTTTTATTACTCAGGAAGTGATTTAGCTAAAATTCACAACGGAATTGATTGAAAGTAGACGCTCCGAGCTTTAATTTAAGCCACAGACAAACCGAATCCGTTCATTATTAACGGAGTTATTAAGAGTTAAAGTTTGACGATATTTTTCAATCGAATAACATTTTATTGAAAATGTTCACCTATGCTTCGAATTTAATTTTAATGGCTTAGGAGTCGATTGAAATTGTTAAAGAAACTCGGTTAATGCAGTGTTCAAGGTTTAATTTGAAATGTGGACGAAGTAAATCGGTTAACCATCCTTGCGTTCCTGGGTCTGACCAAGACTTTACAGTCTCTTTCTTGTAGTTTTGTTTAAATTTAACTATTAACTTCATAATTCATTTATCGATTGATATTATAATTTCTACAATAAATGATATAACACTCGATATGACTAATGATTTGTTGAGTAGTTACGATGACCGATTAAACGTAACGAAATTCCGATTCCAGCATCTCCCCACTACGCCGGTAATCCCGTAGAATGGGAGAGCCTGAGGAGAACAGGTCTTCTTGCGGGCCGGTGGGCCCGGCAGTCTCGCGCCTCGTGTCCGACACCGAAGAGGAGGCGGCGGAGGAGGAGGAGAACGGCATGGAATTGGAACAGGATCTTCAGGAGGACGCGCAGTGGAAGCGCATACAGCAGAACACGTTCACCCGTTGGGCGAACGAACGTCTGAAATCGTCCAACGTGCACATAAACGACCTGGAATGCGACTTGTCCGACGGATTGAGGCTGGTGAACCTGATCGAGGTGCTCGCGCAAAAGCGACTACCGCGGCACAATCAGAGGCCCGTCTTCAGGTCCCAGAAGCTCGAAAACGTCTCCGTCGCACTGAAGTTTCTCGAGGACGAGGGCATACGCATCGTTAATATCGGTGAGACTTCATTCGAGATGGAACACCGATTTTTGTTACTCATTCGCTTTCGGGTAATATTCGTTTTGTTAATTACGACGATTCTCAGGTATCGATACACGGGATTCCGGTGAATTTGGAATCGAAATAGAGGGTTCTAGGTCTGATTTAAGCTAAGAATTAAGTAAATCGATGAATTATTAACTGAGTTATTGACGAATGAAGATCGACAATATTTTTCGTTAGGCTGGAATCTTCAAAATTGGACATGGTTTCTTTCGGAGTCAGTTTTCAAATCTTAAAAGTCGATTTAGCTGCAATCGACAGCGGAGATAATAAAAACTAGACGGTTCAAGCTTGAATCTAAGTCGCGGACCAAGTAAATTGGTGCGTTGTTAACGAAGCTACAAACGATCGAAGTTTTACAATTATTTCGACGAATCATAAAATCTGCTTAGTCCGCGTAAACTGAAATTGCCTTCGGAGTGCTTGCCCCTTGATAATGAATGTGAATAGTCGGCAGAGCTCCCCTAACATTCCCGAAGCCTCGCTACAGAAACTAGAAAATTTATCTTAAACAAATATAATAAGTAGCAGACCGCTCACTATATCAACATTGAAATCTACTATAAACGAATAGAGTAACGTATAGAATTCTTAGAAAATTACAGAACTATCCTGATCGACAATGCACAGTTATATTAAATGGGTTCCAAGCTTGTTTATTTATCTTGTATCGAAAACACGTATATACATGTACGCGGCACAATGCATACTTAATTCACGTTATCGCGGTACCGATAAGCCACCGCAACATTTACTTTATATAGAATCAGAGTCGTTGTTATTCCCCTCTGGTTTTTTCATTTTAATTACACTCGTAATCGTCTCGCAGCAGAAACAGAATTAATAGAAAAAAATTAATGCGTGTAGAATACATCGATTTAATACATGACCGAATAATTGATAGACTTCTCGTTCAGAATCTTTCGTTCCACCACGTGGATGATGAGCCACGATTCGTGATGACTACAGGTTTCCCTTTCCTTGACGAGTTTAGACGGTGACGTCACACGCCGGTTGCGTCAGTGCAGGATATCCACTGCTAAAGACTGCTCGGACACACGCGTAAATATAATACAAAATGAGGAATGCGGCTCATTATTCGAGAAATATAAAATAGAAAAAATGCATAGTACCGAGGGATTGATGATAAGGGATACGGTTTACCTCGAGATTGATTTTCACTTATTAACAGTGGATTTAGGTAACATTGCGAGTGGAGTCATATCGAATTAGAGGCTTCAAGCTTTAATTTGGGCCGTGAACGAAGTAAATCCGTTCATTATTAACAAAGTTATTAATGATTGAAGTTAAACAACATTTTTCCTCTGGATACAATTTTTGTAATTTTCCTACTACGAACGAGAGTTTCATTACTTAGGAGGTGATTTTACGAAATTTATTCAAGGGATTGAATTAAAGCAGAGGCTTTAAGCTTCGATTTAAATCGCGAACGAAGTAGATCGATCGATTATTAACAGAATTATCACTGAAGTGAAACGATGGTTTTTGTTAGGATAGAATTTATGGAATTTTTCCATATGTACTGAAGAATTGATTTTCGTCAATCAGATTTAGCTAAATTTGCCAGAGGAGACAATGAAGAGTAGAAACTTTAAGGTTTAATTCGAGCGGGAAATGAAGTGAATCCTTCGATTATGAACGAAATTATTAATAATTGAAATTCGACAATATTTTTCGATCCGATAAAACTTTTTGTAACTAGACAGCAGCCTCGAATTTGATTTTTATCGCTGAGTAAAGAGCAGAGGTAAAACCGTTGATTACTGATTTAATTCCATTCGAGCCATACTCTATAAATAAATCTGACGGATGAGTCAACGCGAGTCATACATGAATAAAAAGTGAATTAGCTAGAATATCTGGAAATGCAGCGCGCCTCTCCTTTCGCCAGCGCGGCAGAAGACGGTCAAGGAATTTCACTTGTCCAAAGTAATGAAAATACGCTAGACACAAGTCAGACGAACAGGAATCTTTAATCGTATCGCGCGAAAGATACGAAAACATGCAATTGTTGTAAACCAGTCGATTGAACCGGTTCCATCTGTATTTTTAGAGCGACATTGTCCCTCGTTTAATGATTCACCGCCAGTATTTTAAGTACTGCTCTCCCCGAACACGTGAATATTATTAGGAATCGAATATCGCAATTGCAATTTATAATCGATTCAATTCATTTGGCAGAACTTCCGTTCTGCGTATCGACTGAAACCTGCCAGTTAAATTAATTGGTAACTAACTAGGGAGAAGTGTTAAGAAAACAGAGAGTGTACGTATGTATGTGCATACATACGTTCCTCTACTAGTGTATAAATTACGGGTTTATTCACAATGGGATGGTATTAGGTCACAGAACCACTATTAGTAAGTAGGATTCTGACACTGGGAACTACACGGTCATATAATGTACAAGAGTTATTAGAGACATCGAATACTACTACCTTTGCCAATTTTTTTATAATAACTCGATTCTAAAGGGAAAAATCTGAAAAAAATTCTTTGAACACTCCCCGCGCCTTGTAAAACGTCTCTTGATTCTTTCGCGACCTTCCGATCTAGGAAAACATCGGGAAGATAACTCGACTATTAAAGGAAAATATCTATCTTAAATAACAGCGAAGGTGATCGTCGAAAGGTTTCTGATTTTTGTTTCTTATGAAACAGATTCGTCGGATATAGTCGACTGCAAGCTGAAGCTGATTCTGGGTTTAATATGGACGTTGATTCTCCACTATTCGATCTCGATGCCGATGTGGGATGGCGAGGACGACGAATTCGACAAACGCGCGACGCCGAAGCAACGCCTGATGCGGTGGATCCAGTCGAAGCTGCCGGATCTTCCTATAAACAATTTCACGTCGGACTGGAACGACGGGAAAGCGGTGGGCGCGTTGGTCGACGCGGTCGCGCCGGGCCTCTGTCCGGACTGGCAGGACTGGAACCCGAAAGACGCGATCCAGAACGCGTCCGAGGCGATGGGCTTGGCCGACGACTGGCTGAATATACCACAGGTCGGGAATAATTTCTTATCTCAATGCTTCAGAACTCAATTTAGGCAAAATCGGCAGAAAAAACGATGAAATGTAGAAAGTTTTAACTTTGACTTAAGCTGCGAACGAAGTAAATCGGTTCGTTGTTAACAATGTTATTTATATAATTCGAGTCCAACAATTTTTCTATCTAATGTTCCATAGATGGAATTCGGTGACTTTCATTTCTCGCACGATTTCAGAGTCGATTCAGGTCAAATTCTTAGAAAAGATAAAATAAAGTAGAGATTTCAAAGTTTAATTTAAGCCGCGAACGAATTAAATCGGCTCAATTTTAACAAAGTTATTAACAATTGAATTTTGAGAATATCTCGCTAGGGTATAAAGTTCAAAGATGAACAAGATTCGATTCAAATTGGATCTTCTTTACATAGGAGTCGATTCAGGTGAAATCCTAGAGAACACAAATGAAAGTACAGACTTCGAGGTTCAATTTATCCGATTGATATAAATATACCTCGATCCGATTGATTTTCTTGAACATTAATCGAGATACATAAACCGTTCTCTTTCTCGTAGTTAATCAAACCTGAGGAGATCGTAAACCCAAACATAGACGAGATGTCGATGATGACGTACCTCTCGCAGTATCCGAACGCTAAACTGAAGCAAGGAGCGCCTCTCCGTCCTCGCACTAACAGAAACAGGTGAGTGTCCCGCACGAAACGATCGATCGCAAACATAATTATGAAGAAACGTAATGAAACTGTAAACAATTGTCGACTTCCACGATTATTGCGATTTGAAAAAATCGAAGTATACACGTTATCATTCTGAAAATACACGCACACAAATATAAATTACAGAATGAGACGAAAGAACAATCGATTAACATAAGAAAATGTTTTACTTTTCGCAGCGTCCCGCCGCCGCGGTAAGTCGCAAGACTGAATCGTGTATTCGAACGCTCGTTCGCAGCTTTTCTATATATGGCTTACCTTAATAAATTAATCGATTAACGGCTTTGAAAGATGCTGCAGTTTCTAGGATTAGACACGCTCGTCGCCTACGGCGTCGTTTCGCTTTAACAAGAGCCACGTGCGTTTCAACACCCGTTCGTTCCCAGTTTAACAAAACGTTACACAGCAAACGGGGGAACGCGCGGTCCGATGTCTAATTTGTTACAGTTTATTAATAACGGATTGTACGCCGGCTGATATCGGGATCTATTTAATTATCTTCATGAAATCCCTTAATAATTTTTCTTGCTGTTTTTTTTTAGAGTCAGAGTCTACGGGCCTGGAATCGAACCGAACGGCCCGGTGGTCGGCGCACCAGCCAATTTCACGGTCGAAACATTTTCCGCGGGAAAAGGAAACGTTGAAGTCACCGTAGAGGACCCACAGGGCAACAGAATCCCCGTAAGTAACTGCTTAACCAGAGATATGAAGTTTGTATTCAATCCAGAGAACTTTATTGTTATGCATCCAAAACTGTGCGAAGGTCGACGTAAGGTTCAACAACGATAAGAATTTGACGTACTCCGTCTCATACACGCCGAGGTCGCCGGGACCACACAGGATCAAGGTCCTCTTCGCCGGCCGGGAGATCCCTAGAAGCCCATACACGGTGCATGTTGATCAACAAGCTGGCGACCCCTCGAAGGTAACTGCGAGCGGTCCCGGCTTACAACCGGACGGTGTCGTCCTCAATCGCGGAACGTTCTTCGACATATTTACCGGGGAAGCCGGTAGAGGAGTGCCGGAAGTGATCATACTCGATCCCCAGGTAACCACATTCGAGATTTTATGAATTTTTATATTGATAAATCGATGGATTGATTTAGAAAAATTCTTGTATTATAACTTTCTAATATAGTAGTAGATTTATGCATTTTTCAGTATTTTTGAAACGTTAAATTCGGAGAAGAAAAGTCGCAAATAAATAAAACCGATAATGTTTGTCCAAGGGTTCGAAGACGACGGTGCCCGTGAAGCTGCGTCAGACGCAGCCGGACGTGTGGCGGTGCGAATACGCGAGTCCAGTGACCGGACTTCACTCGGTGAACGTGTTCTTTGCGGGCAAATTGATACCGGGCAGCCCGCACGGTGTCAACGTAACTTCCGAGTCGAGGAAGTGTCGCGCTTACGGCCGAGGCCTTCTGCCGCACGGCGTTCGAGTTAAGGATGACGCGGACTTCGTTATAGCTACTAAAGGCGGTGACGAGGCCCCTGGAGTCAAAGTGATCGGTCCCGGGGGCGTCAATCGACCTATACAGTGAGTATATCCAGTTTTTCGCTAATTGTTTTATCGAGGGTATGCACACGTTATAGAGAGCGTAATGGGTGTATGGATACATTGTAGAGAGTACAACGTGGATAGATTTATTATCAGTACTGTATTACATCGTTAATACAATATTAGATTATATAACATCGTTGATAATGAACTGATTTAGTTAATTCGTTGCTTAATTTAAACCTTGAACGCTGTAGTTTGACTACCATTCCTAAAAATGTCCACAAAAAGTAATGCCCACATATACATATATTATTCACACCTGTTTATTGATATTTCGTCTAACAAACACGATTCATCTGTACAGAATGACAAGGGTGGACCGTAATACCTACAAATGTCAGTACACTCCGATAAAAGAAGGTAGGCACGTAGTGATGATTACCTATTGTGGCGCGGAGATACCGAAGTCGCCGTTCGAGGTGAACGTCGGCCCGTACAGGGAGTCGTCGATCCGAGCCTTCGGCCCCGGCCTCCACGGTGGAATCGTAGACAGAACGGCGAAGTTCACAGTGGATACGAACGGCGAGACGGGCGCGTTGAGCTTCTCCATCGAGGGACCTTCCAAAGCGAGGATCGCTTGCCACGACAACGGCGACGGCACCGCCGATTTAAGTTACTTCCCTACGACGCCTGGCCAGTACGCTATTCACATATTATGCGACAATGAGGACATACCCAAGTCGCCATACGTGGCCAACATCTTGCCCAAGGCCGACTTCGACCCGGACAAGGTAATCTTCATAAGTTTTAATAAGATTCTATTGTTCGTTTTACGATTGTATAATCACAGTTTCATTTGAATTTTTACGCGACTAATTCTTGACGGAGACATCTGAAAAAATTACAGTGTCCCTATGTGGTAGTAGAGTCCTTTAGAATATCGAAGAATTTTTGTCAGACTTCTAGGTACGTTGTAAAGAGCGGGAAAAATAGATATAAAGAATTTTTAACTTTAAGGTCGAAGTGTATGGGCCGGGCGTCCAAGCGGCTTCTATACCTACGGAGAAGGCTACTAATTTTACAGTGGATGTTAGAAAGGCTGGACAGGCGCCTCTTGAGGTCGAAGTACAAGACGCTTTCGGTAGGGACGTTCCCGTGAAATTGGAGGACAAGCACGACGGCACCGTCCAGTGCTACTACACTCCCACTTCCGGATCCCAGCACGTCGTCATGGTAATCATATTTTGAAAAGGGTGCCGACCTGTTCCTTCCAATCCGTACATTTTAATATGCCCGTTTTTCAATCCCGTCTCGAGTTCTGTCGCTGAGTAAATTCCATCTGAAAAATTAAATCCGAGAAATATAGTAAACATGGCCGGAAACGAGCCAGAGTGTTAAAATACAATTAGAATCCAATAAAACCCAATAGATCGATTCGAGGCTTTTGTACACATGAGTGAATGATCGTTCAGGTGAACTACGGCGGAGTGGCGACGAGAGATTCTCCATACCGGGTGAAGGTCGAGGCGCCGTTGAATCCGGCCATGGTCTCTGCATTCGGCCCCGGGTTAGAGAAAGGCGTGAAATCAAATACTCCCACGCATTTCAACGTCGACTGCCGCGAGGCGGGACCCGGGGATCTCCGCTGCAGCATCGCCAACCCTGAAGGCAAAGAGATCCAGTTGACGATGACGGACAATAAGGACGGGACGTACACGGTCGACTACGTGCCGCCAACTGCCGGAAATTATTTGGTGAATTTGAATTACGCCGGGTTCAAGGTACCCGTTTGCCCGATCAAGGTGAACGTCGAGCCCCTCGTCGATGTCTCCAAGATCAAAGTCGACGGACTCGCTCGCAGTAAGTTCAAGCGCTTTCATATTATATTTTACGTACTTGTATCGTGCTTTCGGGTTTCGTCTCCTAGAACATACATATACTACTAGAGACAGCTTCTATACGTGTCGAAAGTGTAGGCTGCCTTCAATATTACACACGTGCTTCAAGGGTTTCATTGGGACGGATTCAGTCCCGTTAAAATTGTAAGAGGAACTGAATTAAAATAGACGGCTGAAGTTGTGATTAGAGCCGCAAACGAAGTGAATCAATTAATTATTAACGTGATTGAAGGTGACGTGTTTTCATTGATTGAATTGTTATAATTCGACAGGGTTTCATTCAAGGTTAATTTTCACCCGTTAGGAGTTGACTTAGGTGACATTACGAGAAGAAACGAATCGATGTAGAGAGTTCAAGGTTTAACTAAAAAAACTGATGAACCGAATTGGGCCGCTATTAACAAAGTTATCAGCAATCAAATGTCAAGAATATTTTACATCTATATACAATCTTTAGTATCATCACTTTTCACGCTGTCCGTACTCGAATTTGAGATTTCGATTCATTCCGCTTAATTACGAATTCCTGAAACTCGATCTAGCCGCGCCGGTGAACAGCCTGCAACAGTTCCGCGTGATAACGCAGGACGCGGGCCGCGCGTCCGACTTCCAAGTGGCGATCACCGCGCCGTCCGGTAATCGGGTGAAGGCGCAGGTTGTCTCGACGCACGACGGATACCTGGTGAACTTCACGCCGACGGAGCTCGGCGAGTACCTCCTCAGTATCACCTTCGGCGGGGAGCCGATTTCGCGGCAGCCCTATCGGCTGACCTGCGTGCACGGCTCGGATCCGAGCAAAGTCAAAGCCTCCGGGCTGGGTTTGACCCGCGGCACGACGAACAGACCGGCGGAATTCGTGATCGACACGCGCGGCGCTGGCCAGGGCGGCTTGGGAGTCACCGTCGAGGGCCCCTGCGAGGCGGCGATTAACTGCCGCGACAACGGTGACGGCACCTGTTCCGTCGCTTATCTACCCACGGAGCCCGGCGATTACGGAATCAACATCACTTTCAACGAGAATCACATTCCCGGATCACCGTTCCAAGCGATCGTCGTTAACGAGCCTCTGGACGTCTCGAAAATAAAGGTCGCCGGCGATGGGATACAACAGAACGGTACAGGCTGGTTCAAAGGAACGAACGAAGGAGTGGTGTTGCCGTTTTTATCTCTGTGCTGTTTGGCCTTGCTGCCTGTTCGTTGACGAATGATACCGAAGATTTTGTGTTCAATCGATCGTCTTAGATTGAATATCGTTGGTTTGCGGTCTTTATTTGTTGGTTGTCGGTGTGACTTTTAACCGGTTTCGTTTGCTTGACGTTTGATTAACGTGTATGGATTTTTTATGTCTTTTATGGACTTGATCCGAGACGAGGTTCGATCGACGTTGTTTAGTACAGACGAAGACATGGGCATCGTTTGAATTTTCAGAAATGGCGCCAGTTTCGTGAAATTTTTAAAGTTCGATCTAGGAAAAATTAGCAGCGGATTTAACAATAATTAGAGGTTTCGAGCTTCAGTTTAAGCCGCGGTTCACTCGTTTCCATCCAGCAATAACGAAGACACATGAATTCTTAGAATCCTTGAAAGTGATTCTATTAAATTCTCAAGTTTCGGGAGTCTATTTAATTCAAATACCTAAAGAAATTAACAAAAACTCCAGTCAATTAATTTTTCTTTCGTTTGATCAACGCATCCACGATTTCACCCCGGACTGCCGTCCCCAATAGTTCGCTAAGTACGAATCTGCTATTAATTAACAAAATTGTAGGTCCCCGTGTGAATCAGGATGCTCGGTTCACGGTCGACGCTCGCGGCATCGCAAGGCCCGAGAAGGACGCCGAGAATCACGTGTCGTGCACGATCAACAATCCGAGTGGCGGAAAAACGGAGAGGGTGATCGTTAACAAAGGCGACGGCACGTACAACGTCAGCTACGTACCCTTCGAGGAGGGCCGTCACACCATAGACATTTTATACGACAACGTTCCCGTCCCCGGCTCGCCGTTCGAAGTGAACGTGAAACGTGACAGTGACCCGGCAAAGTGCAGAGCTTACGGACCTGGGTTGAACCAAGGAGTCGTTAATAGGCCCAATCTGTTCACCGTTGAAACGAAAGGTAACAATTTCTTATGTTGTGCAGTTAAAATTGCCAGAAGAATTGAATTGAAGTCAGGCTGTGAACGAAGTGAATCCGTCCACTATGAACAGAGTTATGGGGGGGGGGGGGTTGAACAATATTTTTTAATTGATATACAATGTTAATAATGAGACATGGCTGGCTTCTAATTTGACAATTTCGTACGTCATTTAAAGTATATATGACAACTTTTTAACTATCCATAGAAATGAATGAAAGAAGTAGGGAACGCACCGGTGTACTAAGAGGAGGTCTCAGAACATTTTCTGTCTCCTACGTGGCGAGATCGATGTAGAAAAAATTCCTATAGATTCGCACCTTGCACATCTCATTATTATTATTATTATTATCAGACGCAGGGAACGATAGGTTGGCACTGTCGATGGAAGGTACCGGCGAAGTGAAGCTGACGTGCAAAGATAACTACAACGGCACCTGCTGTGTCGAGTACGTCCCGTTCGAGGTCGGCGACTACGAAGTCTCAATTAAATTCGCGGAGCAGCACATTCCAGGCTCTCCCTTCCAAATAAACGTCGTCCCCGACCAGTCAAGCCCTTCCAGCAAGGTTTCAGCTTACGGCCCCGGTCTGGACAACGTTCGAGAGGCCGTTCCAGCCAAGTTCCTTGTGGACGCGTCGAAAGCCGAATCCTCGCATCTCGATGTCTCCTTGAAGAGCGACAGGGGCCAGGTAATTTCTCGTATAATTCGCTAATTGATAAATATTCATTGTTTCGTTTTACCGGTTTGAATGACAGGTGCCGAAGCCAGCGATAAAGAACCGCGGGGACGGGATGTACGAAGTGACCTATCAGCCGCCAGCCGCTGGTAGCAATTTGACGGTGGGAGTGACTCATGGGGGCGAGAACATCGCCGGGAGTCCGTTCAAGGTGAAGGTTCTGCCTACCTGCGAGCCGAATAAAGTAACCGTCTCTGGTTCCGGGGTCGCGCCTGTCTGCACGGCTTCTTTTCCGGTGGACTTCATCGTCGACACGTCGAACGCCGGATTCGGCGACCTAGAGGTCCAAGTATTGGTGAGCGTTTTTAAATACGTTTCGCCTTAATTGAATTCGGAGAGGAAACAGGGACCGGGTGAAAGATTGGCGTGGCTCGGTTTTATATCGGATTCCTCAGGCTCTGAAGTCGATTTTGGAAACATTAATTAAGGATGTATTGTCTATACAGTCAATCCCAAAAGTTTATGCACTTTAGAAACGCATTTTTTAAAAAGAAATCAGACGTCGGAAGAACATTGCTAATAATAAACAACAACAAAAATTTTTCGATTTTTCCGAGATTTTTTCAAGACCCTTCAGATTTTGCAAAATTGTCGTTTTTGCCAATAACTCTCAAACCGTTAGACATACAGAAAAATTGCATATGACCTTTCTTGTAGAGCACGATGAGATCTACAATTTCCACGTAAAAGTTTTTCGTTAGCATCAATAGTTAACGAGTAATTTGCAAAAAACTGTTTTTTCGTTTTTCGTCCATAACTCTTTCAATATTAATGATAGCGAAAAAATGTAATTCAGAAATTGTAGATCTCGTCGTCCTCTACAAGAAAGGTCATATACAATTTTACCGTAGATTCAACGGTTTAGGAGTAATTAAGGAAAAATGAAATTTTTTGCCAAAAGTTCGCCGTTTCGACGCTGGGATGGTCAGACTTTGTCAACATCAATAAAATGCCAAATAATCATACGTAACTCGTTAAATATCGAAGTTAGAAGGAAAACAACTTTTATTTCAAGTATTTTTCGAAATTTTGAAAAAAAAAAAATTTTCGTCAGCGTCAATACATAATTGGATATTTCCTTCTATACTTTTTAGCACGTAGCTATTTATTATTAGCATTGCTCTTCCGACGTCTGATTTCTTTTTAATTATAGGAAATGCGTTTTTTTAAGGTACATAAACTTTTGGGATTGACTGTATAACCAATACATCCTTAAAAGAAGGGTAGAAAGTAGAAGGTTGAAGCTTTAATTTAAGTCGCGAACGAAATAAATCGGTTCATTATTTACAAAGTTATTAATAGTCGAAAAGGAATATCAGTCTTCATTAGGATAGAATCTTTAGAATTTTTGCAAGATCTATTTCAAAACTGATTTTCAACGCTTAGGAATCCGTTCAGGAAAATTTGTCTGAGGACGTAAATTGAAGTAGAGAGTTGAGCCTTTAATTTACGTCGCGGCTCGATTTTGTTCGCTGTTAACTAAGATACAGCTGTTCGTAGAAAGCGTGTGGAAAGGAAGTGAGTAAAACGACAATTTGGTTTGAATTTCCAATGATCGCAGGGCCCGGACCAAGTGCCCCGCCGCGTGGAGATACAAGATGTAGGCGACGGCCGTTACAGAGCGACTTACTTACCGGATGATTGTGGCCGGTACAAGGTGAACGTGAAATATGGCGGCAAGGAGGTGCCTGGTTGCCCGGTACCCGTTCAATCCGTGTCTACCGGCAAGGCGAATGAATGCAAGATTAAGCAGGGTATACAGCACACGTTGGCTCAGGGCGAGGAGTATTGTATCACCGTCGATACGGAGAACGCTGGCCGCGGCGCCGTCACCTGTCGCATCCGATCAACTTCCGGCAGGTAACATCGCAGTAGCCACTCACGAGTATAACGCAATTAATTCTCGGTAGAAAAGAGCGTAGGAGGAGTTTTTTGGAATTTGTGTTAAAACGTGTCTCGAAAAGAAAGAAATGATACCGATATGAAAAGTCTAGCCAATTCTAATTTTCGTTTATAATCTGAATTACAGCGAGGTGGTGGACATCGATATCGAGGACAACGGCGACGGCACGGTGAACATTTATTATACAGTCGCGGACGCCGGTGACTACACGTTGAGCATAAAATTCGGTGGCCAGCCTATACCCGAGGGATTCTACACGTTTACCGTAAGTTGGATCCGCTCGTTTCTAAATGATCGTATTGCTAGGATAATACTGAATCTTAGAACCTATTAACCGAGGGGAATCGGAATCAGCCGGGTGCCAAATGGTGCGGGTGATAACAACAATAGATAGAGGTGAATCAATTTGGAGATTGCCACTTCGTTTGGATAAATAACAGCGAGTCGAGTTATTTAGGAATTTAATGCGTGGACCGTGACGCATGGCGTGCAGCCTATTTCGAGTCGTTTGCGAAATTTCTAAACACCAACTCTCCCGAGGCTACGCTTCTTTTCGTTCGATTCTTTTATTACCGGACCTTGATACTATTTTTATGAGCAGACGAGGTTCCATTTAAATTTGATTTTCGGCCGTTAGGAACAAGTTTATTTGAATTCTTCAATCACGAGCTCATAGAAAGTAGAGGGCTCAAGCTTTAATTCAAGCCGCGAGCGAATTGAATCTGTTTAATATGAACGAAGTTATGCGTCACTGAAGTTGAACAATATTTTTTAATTATGGGACATGGCTGGCTCGTAGTTTGATCTTTGACCCTTTCGAGTCAATTTAGCTAAAATTACCACAGGAGACAATGGAAAATAGAGGATTCAAGCTTTAATTCAAACCGAATCCATTCATTATGAACGGAGTTATTGAGAATTGAAGTTTATCAATTTTTTTCTTTAGGATAGTATTTTTAGAGTTGGAAAAGATGTGATTCAGAGTCTTCTCCTTTAGAAGACGATTGAGGTAAAATTCTTAGATAAACTAAATTGAAGTAAAGAGTTCGAGCTTTAATTTGAATCTAATCCGTGCATTATTAACGGATTTATTAAGAATTGAAGTCAAACGATATTTTTCGTTCGAATAAAAGTTTTGTAGTCAGACCACTCTTACTTTGAATTTTATTTCGCATCACTTAAAAGTCGATTTAACTGAAACTGTTAAAGGAACTCGGGTAATGTAGGGGGTTCAAGCTTCAACTTGAGCCACAAACGAAGTGAGTCCGTTCATTATTAACGGAGTTATAAACGATTTAAGTGAAACGGCCGTTTTCGTCACGAATATTTAGAATTTTCCAAGGTTGACTGAAATATTCACTTTCATCGCTTAGAAGTCGATTTGTCTAAACTTCCCAAATAAGATAATAGAAAGTAGAGACTCTGAGCTTTATTACGCTGTGAACTTCAACCGAATCCGTTCGTTATTAACGAAGTTACAATCAAATTAGGATGACGCTATTAATACGTCGAATGGAGCGAGAGACGTAATTCAATACTTATGGTCGTACGATTAGATTCGTTCAATTAGGAACACAATGGGCAGCTGTATCCCGGCGATTAATATCCGTTTTATGTAGTTATTTATAATCGGGGGCGTGGGGGTAGGCTAAGCCATTCGAATATTCGGCATTGTATCCCAGTTTACCTCGAGTTCCGCGAACGTACGCTATTCGATATTACCCCCGGCTGTCCTTTAAGTCAATCGCGGCTGTACCCGAATCAAACCGAAGGTACGTTCTCTTTAAGATCAGCAAGGAAACAAGGAGATAACAGTTAAACGGGTGCTTAGACTTAATTCGAGTCTCCGCTTAACAATATCCGTGAAGTAATCCTGCGGCAGGCTTGGAGCACCGCCTCCGAGCATCCATTAGATATTTATTTCAGATTTCAAAACTTTCCACGCGTCGCAATTAAACAGGACATCAATCAGGGATTAGACACTTGTTGTTATTTGCTTGTTTTAATTGATTTTTTTAGTTGAAAGCTCCGACGGTGTCGTCAACTTTGGGACATTTAAACTGTCACAGCTTGCACGCGATGCAAGTAAAGTGAGCTCTAGGCGATAAACTAATTTCCAGGCAATAATAAGATCGATTCTCTGCGGGGTGAAATGAATTGTAAAACGGAAAATGATACGGAGGTGAACGTATGAAATAAAACGGTTGTAATCGCTACGTGTTAAAAGGTAAAGAATTTGGAATAAAAATTGTGGGAGGGCTCCGGGATCTAACGAAAATGAAATTATTTTGAGATTGGTGTCAGGCCAAAAGCCCCGCGATGCGTGGAAAGAATTTCTTATGCAACCGAGGATAGAACCCGAGTACCGTGATCGTTGCAAAATCCGTTTGATCACGTGGAAGATTCATTGGAACAACTTGTAAACAAATATTCCCACTTAAACGCAGCTCTCGGCCTCTCCCGGCTAACTGCTTGTCCGCCTTTTAATGTTAAATGCAATAACGATGCCGATCAAATGAATTTTTCATTCACATGAATTTTCAAAAATCGTTTCCAGGCATCAGAGGAGTACAGGGAGCACAACTCGTACAAGGCTCACCGCACGAGGCGAACGAAACAGAAACAGGAGGGACAGTTCGTTGAGAAACATAGCAGCAGCACCAGCACCAGCAGGAGCAGTACAAGCGTCCAGGAGAGCTCCAGCTCGAAGAAGAACTTTAATGTGATTCGATTGAACAATATACCATTGCCCATTGGAAGCGGAACCGTCACCTGTAAGTAAATCCTCGCAGAATCTTCGGAAAGTAAGAGCGAATACTCTGCGGACGGGGTGCGATTAGGAAGAATTCGATTTAGGTGAAATTGATAAAAGTAGAGTCGTTTGATTATTAACAGAATCATAAACAATTGAAGTGAAAGTTTTCGTTAGGATAGAATTTTTAGAATTTTCCAGAGTGTATTGAATAATTAATTTTCGTCACTCGGGAGTCAAAATTGCCAAAGGAACCGATAGAAAGTAGAGAGTTCAAGATTTAATTTCAGTCTGTATTTCGATCGATTTCGTCCGATACAAATTCTAAGAGGTAGTTCTGTTTTATATTAAATATTCTGCCTTCAGGATTTGATTTAGATAAAATTGTTAGAGGAATTCGTTTCCTCATCATCTCTACTCTCAAGACGTGTTTCAATCTCTAATTTGGAAAAATTTGAACAGTAACATTTTAATTATCATTCTAATTCTATAATTTGAAGAGGATAAGGGTTGGACTTGGTATTTAGGCAGCGGGAGTAAACGCGTTTTCGGTAGTTGTCAGTTATTAATATATTCGATGATTAAGCTGCACCGGATGTGCGCGATCGCCGTTGGCCCGGAAAAACCGTATAACTGGGCCGACGACAACGATGATGAGGAGACCCGTCTCTTACTAAACGTAGAAACGACACACGTTTCTCCTCTCACTTTTAAACATCAATTCCAATTATAAACTTGAGATTTTGTCAATTATTTTAATTCTCGTACACATAGTTACCGCGATGTTGTATTAAGAGCACTTAACTCACTTCGGACACTTGTACATGCCTGCGAGCGCTGAAAATGAATTGCCGAAACGGTTGGATCGGTTTCAATTAATTACCGAGAGAGAGACGCGCGTTTACACGGTTGTAAATCTACTTAAGGCTATTAAGAACACAGATCTCTGCTGAATGTCTTTTTAAATTTTCGACAATCGAACAAACGAAATTTCACAAAATTTCCTCTAATTAATATCGGCGTTTGAAAGTTTGGAAAGTATTCTGAGATGTAGAATGGAATCTTCTCTCTAATGAAAAATTTCGATACCCGAAGGTCCGACAACGATTCTTTCAGAAGACGACGGGATCTTTTTTCGATTCATCATAAGATCGATAGATGAAACGGAATAAATGAACGGGAATGTCTAATTGGATTGGATCAGTGCCAACTAAATTGGTGCCGCGCATACGGAGATCATATTGTACGGCGGGGTGGTTGAACATGTTCGGTTTCCTTTGGGTAATGAGAAATTCTTCGAGGAGGACGCGTGACTCGAACGGAATTATGACTAGCGATAATTTAGAACCGCCGTGGTGCTAAAACCGTGGCCGGCGCGTACCAAAAATAAACAACCGTTTCGATTTCTCGATCCCGCACGTCTCATTAACTACGGATTTATTCTAGCCACCGGCGACGGCGGCGGCGGCGGCGGCGGCGGGTCCGATCGGGTTTCAAATAATCTCCGGAATAAATCGTTTGACGATGTTCGAACATTATCTAATTGGAACGTCTGACAATTTCATTAAATAATCTTATTGATCTCCCGTAGAAACGTTTGAAAAAAGATAGAGAAATGCCAGAAGTGGCTCTCAGAATTTTTTCAGACGTAGCTAAAGAAAATTTAGAAAAAGAATCATCAGACGTTCGTTGATATTGTGCACCGCATCGACGGATTTTCACTCGTTAATATTGGATTTCAGTAAACTTACGAGAGAAACCGAATTGAAGTAGAGAGTTCAAGTTCTAATTAGAACCGTGAATGAAGGAAATCGGTGAATTATAAACATAGTTATGCGCGATTCAAATTGATCAACGTGTTACTATTAGAATTCAATTTTTATAATTCGACAGGATTTCGCTCAAAGTCAATATTCACCCCTTGGGAATCGACTTAAGTAGGATTGTAAGAGAGACCGAATTAAAGTAGAGACTTCAAGCTTCAATTGCATCTCGGGTTAATCGCGTTTCCTCCATTAGTAACAGTTGAAGTTCGCAAATCTCTAAGAGGTTCATTCCTACCTCTACAAAACGAGATGGACATAGAAAAAGAAACCTGTTGTCTCTAAACGATCGTTCGTACCGATCATGTGTACATTCGAGATATACCCGTTGATATGACAAAAAGCGGGAAGTGTCCCCGTTGAGCGGCGTCCAAAATTGAACTGGAGTGAAACGGAAAAATGAGGAACGAAAAAGAGAGGAGAAACACGAGATTCCTGGCATGGTTGGGTGATCCGGTGGCTCGTGCCAGGGATTTGGTTTCGATCGGGCCACCGTCCGGGGGCTTAGTCGGTGCGATGAAACCTGGAAAACCAGCCGATCTAAGCTGGAGCTCGTTCTTTCCTATAAAACAAATTAAATAGGGAAAACCGAAAACGGTCTTAAATTAAAAAACCAGTGATTATTCTAAGATGTCAATCAAATAAAAACGAGAAAAGGAAAGGCTTAAAGAATCGTGAAGACTAATTGAGTGACTTGAAAAATCAATCATTAAAACAAAGAAATAGTTTTATTAAGGGATTTCCGTTCCTGTGGGGATATGGTTTGGGAGGAGGAGGTAGTGGAGTTTACGTGGCAGGAATTGTCTCAATTTTACAAGCACGGGTTAAAAACGGTCACGTGGAGCCCATACGATCGTGCCGAGCGCGGACCTATTTGCCTCGCGAAGGACACCGAGCCAGTAGAAGAAAATCGTTTCCTAAGCTCCTTCTACATCCAGACGAAAAAAGGTTCAGCCCCGAGAGGAGGCAATTTTTTTTTAAACGTACCGTCGACGATCGGAGCATAAAAAAATTCCACGGGATGTACACGGTCCAGTAGGATGTACGAGAATTTTTCCGCAATTCTCATCGCGCTGTAATCCGACGGAAAAAAAATTACAGTAACCTTTAAATATGCATCGTCTGCGGTCGTCCATTTTTTTTTTTTAACTAACCGTCGACGATAGGTGTATGAAAAAATTCCAGGAGATGTGTAGGATTTAGTGGAATATCTGAGAATTTTTTCAGAATTCTTCACACGACGCGATCGCAGTAAAAAAATATTTGAATATACCGCGTGACATGTTGACCGTGTCGTCATTCGAGTCTTCGTCTGCACAATTCGAAGGAGTCATTGCAAATGAATTAAATGAATTTCAGCCGAAGTGAAGATGCCGAGCGGTAACATGGACAAACCGGTGATCGAGGACAATCGCGATGGCACGGTTTCCATCAGGTACGACCCGAGAGAAGAAGGTCAGCACGAGCTCTCCGTGAAATTCAACGGTGAACACGTTCAAGGTAACACCTCGCATTCTGCCGATCCAACAGATTGAAAGATATGACTAGAAAGATATGCGAATGTTCGTCGAATTTAACGGGAGATTAAGGATCTCCGACGGAAATCGACGAGCTTCGCTTCTCGCACGATTTGATCCGTCACAGTACCAGAGGAGATAATAAAAACTAGAGAGTTTAAGCGTGAATTTAAGCCGTAGACCGAGTATATCGGTTCGTTATTAACGAAGTTATCGATTGAAATTTCATAATATTTGTCGAAGGATCCCCGTTTAAATTCCACGTGGACTCATTGGCGAGCGGGTACGTGACTGCATACGGTCCAGGCTTGGTCTACGGGGTTTGTGGAGAACCGGGGAACTTCACGATCACGACGAAGGGCGCAGGAGCCGGTGGATTGTCCTTGGCAGTTGAGGGACCGAGCAAAGCCGAGATATCTTGTCACGATAACAAGGACGGCACCATCTCCGTCTCTTATCTGCCTACCGCGCCCGGCGAGTACAAGATCGCCGTCAAGTTCGGCGATAAACACATCAAGGGCAGCCCCTACGTTGCCAAAATCACAGGTACGATCGATGAGCACTTGACATTCTCTCGAGATTTGATAATTTTTTTTCAAATGGAAATCATCGATACATGGATCGGAAAATATTCTCTGGTATACAGTACATGACAAGCGGTGTATCTGTGAATTTCCTCAATAAATTCTCTTCGTTAGAACCGGAGAAATGAATGATAACAGAAATTGCAAGTTGACATACGCTGATACACGTGTTAAAAGTTTGATAATTAATTTCAAACGGAAGTTGCCGTTTTAAGAATTTGACGAAATTTTATCCAGCGACATGTCTATGAAGCTTTTTAAAGACCTTCGCGCGTTGGATTTCAGGGGAGGGCCGCAAGCGGAATCAAATCTCTGTGGGCTCCTCCAGTGAGGTCCAGCTGCCGGGTAAAGTGGCCGCCGCGGATATTCGTTCCCTGAACGCGTCTATAACTGCGCCCAGCGGTTTGGAGGAGCCGTGCTTCTTGAAAATGATGCCGAACGGCAACATGTGCGTTTCATTCACGCCGAGGGAGTCCGGGGAGCACACGGTGGCCGTGAAGAAGATGGGCAAGCACATACAGAACTCCCCTTTCAAGATCGATGTCAAGGAACGAGAAGTGGGGGACGCGAAGAAGGTTTATTCATTTTTTCTTTCACGTCCGGTTAATCGGAGATGATCAATATCAATTGTGGACATTTATAAAAGCATGTTGTTTCGTGAATTTTTTTTAAACAAACCGCCAACGATAGAATTACGAAATAATTTCACGACTTGTACACGATCTAGTAGAACGTCTGAGAACTTTTTCGCAATTTTCGATACGTTGGATTAGAAGAAAAAAATATAAACCGTAGACACCTGTTAAACGATGTATCGTTCGCGAGACATCGAAGTACATCAATTTCTTGTAAACAAACCGTGAGCGATAGGAGTATGAAAAATGTCATGAATCGCGTACGATATATTGCAACATCTCACAATTTTTACAGAACATTCGACGGCATATATAAAATAGAAAAAAAAAACAAATTAAAGGTGAAGGTGTCGGGGTCGGGATTGAAGGAAGGGCGAACGCACCAAGAGAATCACTTCTCCATCGACACTCGGAACGCAGGTTTCGGCGGCCTGTCCCTCTCAATGGAAGGTCCCAGCAAAGCCGAGATCCAGTGCAAAGACAACGAAGACGGTACTCTGAACATCTCTTACAAGCCGACGGAGCCTGGCTACTACATCATGAATTTGAAATTCGCCGACCATCACGTCGACGGTTCGCCGTTCACCGTCAAGGTACTTATACTATCAATTCAATTAAAATCGTCGATAAGGAGCTACTCGAAGAGAATCGATCAAATTGGACTCTGTTCTCAGGTCAGCGGAGAGGGCAGCAACAGGCAGCGAGAGAAGATACAGAGGCAGAGGGAAGCCGTACCGATCACCGAAGTTGGCAGCCAATGCAAGCTGACGTTCAAAATCCCAGGTATCACCTCGTTCGATTTAACAGCGACCGTCACCTCGCCCGGTGGCGTCACGGAAGACGCGGAGATCAAAGAAGTCGAAGACGGATTGTACGCGGTGGCGTTCGTCCCGAAGGAACTGGGAGTACACACGGTCTCCGTGAGGTACAAGGAGATGCACATCCCTGGTTCGCCATTCCAGTTCACCGTGGGACCTTTAAGGGACGGCGGAGCTCACAGGTACTTCGATGCGTTCGATATGTTTACTGTTTACCGGTTCCTCTTTCTCTTGAGTAGTTCTCAATTGAGAAATCGGGAGAGATCATGGTACCTTTGCACGGATCTTTGGACCGTCTGAGAATTTTCTTCGATTTCAGGGTCCACGCGGGCGGTCCGGGAATCGAGAGAGGAGAACAAGGCGAGCCGTGCGAGTTCAACATTTGGACGAGAGAAGCCGGCGCCGGGACTCTGGCCGTCTCGGTCGAAGGACCCTCGAAAGCACAGATAGATTTCAAGGACAGGAAAGATGGTAGCTGCTACGTCAGCTACGTCGTCAGCGAACCTGGTGAGTCCCGGGCGTTTAAATGAAATTCCGTGTAACGATTGACACCGACGCCTCTCTCTTATCGGTGATTCTTCTGTAAGGTGAATACCGCGTCGGTATAAAGTTCAATGACCAGCACATACCGGACTCGCCGCACAAGGTGTACATATCGCCGGCGATGGGCGACGCACACAAGCTGGAAGTGATGCGTTTTCCGGACTCCGGGGTGCAGCCTGACAAGCCGTCTACGTTCCTAGTAAGGAAGAACGGTGCTGCCAAAGGAGAACTGGACGCCAAGGTAACGATGACTTTATCATCGATCTCTATACATCGTTCAAAATAACTCCGTTTATTATAATCGATTTTCGCAGCTCGTGTCACCCAGCGGACTCCAAGACGATTGCTTCATCCAGGTAGTAGACAACGACACGTACTCGGTACGATTCCTGGCCCGTGAGAACGGGATCCACAGCATCCACATTAAATTCAACGGCGTCCACATACCGGGCAGTCCCTACCGCGTCAAAGTTGGCAAGGTGGGCGGACAATTTTAATCGATCCCCGAGGAACGGCGACTCTTTAAGAGCGACGACTTTTTAACCGTTCAATCTTAAATGTTATTGAAAGGTGGACGCGGACCCCGCAGCGTTGCATGCCTATGGGAATGGTTTGAAAGAGATAAAAACCGGACAGAAAATGGATTTCATCATCGACACGTGCAACGCCGGGTCCGGCGCGTTGAACGTGACGGTCGACGGACCCAGCAAAGTGGCGATGGACTGCACGGAGGTCGAGGAAGGGTACAAGGTCAGGTACACGCCGCTAGTGCCCGGGGACTATTATGTCAGCATCAAATACAACGGATTCCACATAGCCGGGTCGCCGTATAAAGTGCCTTGCAGCGGTGAGTTTACAAATTCCAGAATTTTTTTGATTGGATTTCTCTTTTAATTAATCTTAAACTGTTGGACCCACTGGGAAATTGCATGCGACCTTTTTGTAGTTAATAGTCAGAGCTACAACATTTGTCTGAAACATTTTCGCTAGCGTCGGTAGTTAACGAGTAATTTAATGAACAGTGAAATTACTCGTTATCAGAGTACTGTATTTCTGTAACGAATTTCTGTACAGGCACGGACTTGGCCGAAAGAGGAGGCCAGGAAACGAGTTCAATCGTGGTAGAAACGGTCCAGAAGATCTCTAAAGCGAAGCAATCGGGCCCGGTGCTACCCTTGTTTAAATCGGACGCCAGCAAAGTTACCAGCAAGGGTATGGGCTTGAAGAAAGCTTACATGGGAAAACAGAACCAGTTCTCGGTTCACGCCGGCGACGCAGGTAATTCTAATCAAAACGTTTACACTTCTTTTCAACTATTTTGATTTTTGACTGATTCATTTGATTCAGGCAATAATGTACTGTACGTCGGTGTATACGGGCCGAAAGGTCCCTGCGACGAAGTGTTTGTCAAGCACACTGGCAGGAATAATTACAACGTGAGTTACTTGGTCAGGGAGCGAGGCGAGTACATAGTGATCGTTAAATGGGGCGACGAGCACATCCCCGGATCTCCTTACAAAGTCGAGGTCTAAACGAAGGATGTATTACCATCCGATTAATCTAATCGACTACCATGATAGGCTATCAATTAATTGATTCATTCATTGATTCAAATAAAATGAAGAGCTCAAGGAGGATAATGAAACGTATATTATATACTGTATTGTAATTAAACGATTGCTATGTAAAAAGAACGATTTAGAAAAACAATATCGACAGTGCCTGATGTTATATTGACGATAAATCTTAAATAAACTACGTATAAATCAATAAGAATGATGACAACACGTGTTCCCTTTGGCGTTGGGATTTATTTTGCGATCCTTGGAGTCGATCTACGTGAGACCGTTCTAACGAAGGGAATTTAATTAAACTTGTCAAATATCGTCGAGAAGGTCTTGCCTAAGTGTCTGCAAAGTTTTATATCTCCGCGGATTTAATCAATACAATTAAAATACAAAGCGATCGCCGTGCATATTTTTTAAGCACGCATTATTATTAGATTAACTACAATTATTATTAATCGAAGTAATGTATAAAATACTGTTTGCTACTATTACAATATTACATGGTAAAACGTGCGTATAAAAAGAGCGTATAAAAAAGGTATAAATACTATAAAAATAGATCTGAGACACGTACGTACGTAAACAGTTACACGCGGATCTGTACGTACGTGTAATTAAATAACTCTCGATTAGAAATGTACAAATCGATTGATATCGGAACTACGTGAAACCGGTCGGAACGACTAATTTTAAATATCGAAGTAGATATATAAAAATGAAATCTGTAGTTCATCGAGCGTTATAATTGTCCGATGAATCAAGGGGAGCCTTTACGCGGTCTCTTCTCCCCTAAATCGTCGCTCCTCTTCTCCTTACTTTCCTCGCTATGCTCCCCGCTTCGTTTCCTCGCGATCGGCGAACTCTGCTTAAGGCACTCCATATCGTTGAACACGACTTGTGCTCCACCGCCGCTCGTCGGGATTATATCGCCCTTGAACAGCTTCGTCTCCAATTCCCCGTCGGTGTCAAACTCCTGGGCAACTAAACAGTACCTCGAGGCGCCCTCGGTGATCTCTTTCGGACTGGTCAACTTCGTGATGCTCCTCCTCCGCCTCATAAGCGGCTGCAGCACTGTTCCGACGGGCACGATTGCACCCGGCCGATGGTCGACCCATCTGTCGGCGCTCTGCGAACGTCTGTACCTCTTGTTACCGACCAAACAGGCTCTGTCTCTTCTGCCTCTACTCTCTTTTCCAACTTCTCTCGGCACGTCCGTAATCTCAGTTTTCTCATCGACTAAAATCTGTTTGACGAGCCTCCATTTATCCTCCTTCTCCTTCATCTGATTTTGCAACTGTTCCCGCTGCTGCCGAAGCTTCATCTCTAATTCCTTGTTCATCTTATCGGTCTCTGCCTGCATCTTGTGATTGTAACGCTGCTTCACCCTCTGCTTATCAATGAGACGCTGATTCAACGCCAGATCCCTCTCTTTCAATTCGGACTGTAAATTCCTGATCGTCTCATTCGCCTTCTCGAGTTTCCTCTGGAGATTCTCCTTCTGCTCCTCAGTTTTACCTAGGTGCCCTTCTAAAGCGTCCAATTTACGCTTCTGCTGAACGTTCGTCGCTTTCAGGGTCGAGTTCTCGATCCTAAGGTCCATCTGCTCCCTCTCGACGTTCGTCAAAGTCTTGCGAAACTCGTCCCTCTTCCCGTTCAAATCCGTCCTCAGTTGATCCCTCTTCTCTATCCTCTGTTCCAGGAATCTTATCAATCTACTCAGAACCTCGTCGTTCTTCGCATCGTTCAGTTCGAACTCCGGGAACGCGGGGGCCAACGAATAAATCGGTTCCTTCGCCTGAACCTTCAATGGTTTCCCCCGGCCTGGAACCAGGCCCAATTCGATTCTCCCGATCGCCGCCGGTTTGCTGGTTTGAATCTCCTGCGTGATCTCCGCGAATTTCAACACGTGGAGGGTCTCGTCGTAGTCCTCCGACCTCGGGTTCACGCAGATTATCATCCGCACCTGTCCATCGCCGTCAAAGTAATTCTTGAACAGATGCGTGAGCTTCGAGTCTCTGTAAGGCACTATCTTATTAGAACCGGTCAGCTGATTCTCCCGGAGTATCTCCAAACAGGACCGCAGGGTCATCAACGAATTATTGATGTTCCCGGCCTCTCTCAACCGCTGCCCGGTGTTCTTGGTCCTGTTGATCCTCTCGCTGCCGGCTAGGTCGACCAGTGATAGTTGGGCCACCGTTGCCACTCGTTTATCCTGTATTATTTGTTCGCCAAGCTGATCAAGCGGCGCCTGAATCAGACGGATTGTGAAGACGCTGTGGGAACGGCTGGACTCGACGTTCAGGGAGGTGTGTGCTACTCGCCGGCGACGTTGACCTCTTTGGAATACCTCCAATGCTTCCTCCGTGCTCTTCGTCTCGATCTCCGTTACGCCGTGGACATACATGTTCTTGTTACCGTCCTCCCGTACGATTTTACTTTGCAGCGGCCTGCCGGGGTTACCTGGGAGGGGAATTTTCATGTAGTGGAATCTAGAATAGTTGAAGGAAAATGTGATTGGAATAGATGAGAGGAAGAATGCGAATACGAGCAGGAAATTTGTATACGTTCGGTAAAAATTAAATGACAGATGGACGACGGAGAGGATTAATAGACATGAGTGAGAATGATGAGTAAAATCGAGATGTGAGGGAATAAGGGCAAGGTATTAGAGTCGGAGAAGAAATTGAAAAGATAAACGATTACTACTAGTTTATTATTACCTCCTCGGCTTTCGTCTTCCTCCTCCAATAAATCGTAAACACTGTTATTATATATCTCCACGTATGTCACAAAAACAGCGTACAAACTATCCTGATCCACTTGGATACTCCTGGACTCGTTCCTCGAACGATTAATCATTAATAATGGATCGCTGGCTTGTCTTGCGAACCTGGAAGCTTTCTGGGAATACAGCCCGGCATGCAACTCACTCTGTCTATCCAGCATCGCGTCTGCCTCGCTCTGTATATCGAAACCGTTTAACTTATCTGGCTTGAAGACGAACTTCTTCGTCTGATGATTCGCGACGCTGTTAAACAATGCGTCCAGGCATCGGGGCATTATTCCAGGATCCGACGAGTCGCCGGTCATTGTGTATGTCTTACCACTACCGGTGACTCCGTAAGTGAACAGCAAACTGTTCCTACCTCTAATTATGTTCTCTATTAATGGCAGAGCTACAACGTCGAATATCTCCTTTTGCGTGGTCTCAGGTTCGAATACTCGACTGAATGTTGTTCGTATCTCTTTGCTAGCATTACCGTTCCGGAGGCTCGCAACCGATTCGGGCATTCTTACAGTCAGGGTTGTATCAGAGATAATTCGCATGCAAGTATCAGATGGGTATTGCATCGGTCGCAAGCGACAATACACCTATTTCGAGAAAGAAATAATAATAATAATAATAATAATAATAATAATAACAATCTTTTTCAATTCAATTTGCAATAACTTCCATTCTTATGAAGGGAATCAAATGAAATTTGGAAGGAACCTGTAGGAGGGTATTGTTGAAGTATCTCCAAAGTTTCCTACCGATATCTGTACCGATGTAGAAGTTATAAGTGAAGAACGAGGCAGTGCTACATTACGTTAGATTAGGATTGTTTTAGAGGTTTTGGGTTGCATTTAATGTATGAAGCATCCAGCATACCTGGACTGGGTCCTTCGTGGAACCATAATTCAGGTTGTTGACCCTCTTTCTGGCAGAACCTGGTGGCTTTGAGCGTCTAAAATACATTCAAGCAGTTAACGAAGGAATTACAGGTTAAAACGTGAGTAACGTACTTCATCGTTTCCACGGCGTTCCTGCCTTTCTATTACGCCGAATTAAAACTAGTATCGGTCTCTTTAATTAACAATCGAAACGATCGGTTAATTAACGTGATAATCAAGAACCGACGACGACCAGACGACAAGAACGCTTTGGGACGCTTTGTTGCGCTTTGTTCAATGTACCCATACCCATTACGGCCCCCGGCACAAAACCACGGGACGTGTTTCGAATTTTTTAACGGTAGAAAACAGAGGGACTGCGCTTGCGTGATTCAAGCGCCACCGGCACCCTACGCCGGCACTGGCTGAAATCTGCAATCTGTCATTCTGCCACGGCTAACTTCAACCGACTTGAGTTTTGCGGGAACGTGGAAAGTGAATCGAGCAAATTGTTAAGAATTTTAATAAGTTTCTTTATTTATTTATGAATAATTAATGGTGATTGATATATACAGGTAAAATGGACGGAGTCGACGGCCCACCGGTCGTGGTAAGCAATTTTCATTAATTGTTAATTTATATAAATTCGCACGTTCAGTCGATGCATCGTATACCCTAACCTCGAGAACGTGACTCGATCCATTTACAATATAAACAAAATTAATTAATAATTAATCTCGCGATCATTTAATGATTAATCTTCAATAGAACTTCGTTCCTTCCTTTATTTTTAGTCAAAATGTCTTTTGTAATAATTACGTACGAAACAGATTTCTAAGAAATCAGTTTTTAATTTAGAAATTCATTCGTTATAGTCAAATAATTATTAAAAAAGATTCCAAATGATCTTCACATGTTTTCTAACACTTGGCATGAGATGAGCCAAGTGTCAAGAGTTAATATGAGATTAGCCCATTTCCAAATACAAAACTTCGTTGAAAATTCTTAACAAACGAATCCTTTCCAGGAACTAGGAAATGTGTCAAAAACCACGAGACTGATCGGCACGTGGTTAAGCACAAACAGACTCAGCATCCACCAAAATGAAACCAAGAAGCTCCCTAATAAGATGCCTGACTCGACGGTCACTATACTCCGGCCAGAAGTAATATTATTCTCCCCTCACCTGCGAAAACTGGTAAACGAGAGCAATGGTGTCTTTCTCTCGGTACGAAAAATCGACTCCACCAATACAGGAGACGTGAGATCAGAATTGTTGAAGCACAGTAAAAGATACAGGTCGATTTTACGAGCGTGCATCGAGAGTTTGCAAGACTCCCGTGACAGCTGCTTACCAGAAACAAGGGAAAGTGTCGAGAATTTTTTAACGATTTTCTATCAAGTTGAATGGGTCTGGCATTTGACGGAGATCCTCTACGTGGACACACTGCCAGGGGACGTAGTCCTACCGCAACTACTCGAATGGATTAGCTTTCATTTCCCGTCGAAGGAAATGGCAGCGGCGAAGATTTTGTCGCGGAAAACGATCGGAGCTGAGTTGGAGCATCAGAATTATTGGGAAGCTGCGATCGGATGCGCGATGCACGGAAAACTGGATTTGCTCCGAGGTTTACTAGCTCTACACTCGAAGGCGGATCATCCAGCTTTCGTTGCTGCCGATGGGATTCTGAAATTGATGCCGGTTTATAATGTTTATGGAGGGTACTCGGTTAACGAGTTTGTTGTTAGATGGAAACATTGGCAGATGGACTTGATGTCTAATTTAAATGGGAAGCTGTTCGCTGTGGATGGAGAGCTGGAGATTGTGATAAAGGTGAAGAGATATTTTTAGACTTACGGGAATGGAAGTTGGAGAATTTATGAGCTGTTTGTAGGGATGGATATTGTTTATAGTTTGCTTTCAATTGGAATTCTTTATTTAATAACTTTGGATCTAATGAAGGGGATTTGATGAAATTTATAAGAAACCTTCAGAAGGATCCTGTTTAAGTGTCTTTCAAGTTTCGTTAAGATATCCTCACCGGTTCGTTAATACGGTACGGTATGTTAATAATATCACCAAAGAATATAACAATTAGTGTTTCTAAAAACGTTTGGATATAACGAATTCAGACGGCCTAAAACTTAAATCGATTCTTGGATAAACGCAATATAATAATATTAATAACAATAATAATCACTGTTTCAGCTGATCTCAGGGCATCAAGAGACTCTCTGTCAACTGGCAGATCACACGGATGCTTGGTACGAGCTGTTGGCAGCTAAACTTCTATACAATTCACCTTGCTGCAAGCAGCCGGAGCTCTGCCGTCACGTGGACAGCTTCTCGAACATTTGGTACAAAGACAGATCGCCCTCGGACAAGGCGATCCTCGCTCTGATGGAAACCAATTTGTCAGTCGCGATCAAGGAGATACAATCGATGGGCGATAACGGATGGTTCGCCGCTCACCTCGTCGACCTGCTCTATACCTGCGGCAGGCTAAGCATTCTAGATAAGGACCAGCTTGAGTGAGTGTTCGAATATTATGCAGCGATCTACGAATACGTGATTGGGTGGAATTAATTTTTTACTTACAACGATGAAAATATTGGAGTTGTGGGAAAACCTTATTTATAGGGGAGAGTAAGAACTACAACTTCTGTTGGAAACATTTTTCGCTAGGATCAATGATTAACGAATTACTGACGATTAGTCGAAGTCGAAATAACGTAGAAAATTTTGTTTTCGTTTCTCCTTAATTACTTGTTAATTATTGATGCTAGCGAGAAATGTTTCAAACAAAAATTATAGCTCCATTTTTCAGCTACAAATAAGGTTCTATACAATTTTCTTATAACTCGAACACTTTAGGGATAATGGAAAAAAAGATTAACAATAATAAAATTAATTGGTAATCGAACAGAGTGAGTAGCCAGCTGCACGAGTCTCTGATACTGGAGTACGGTAGCACGTTGACCAGCCACCACTCGTTATGGCAGTGTGGGATTAGTTACTTGACGCACTGCCCGACCCAGGGGCTTGCTAGGCTAGAAATACTATTGCAGTCGCTGCCGATGGGCTGCGAGGCAAGAGTAAACAAGATCCTCGACGTCGCGAGGGACAATAAACTGGACCACATCGTTACGAGTATCTGCAAAATACAGAGCACGAATTCGATGAAACGCGGCAGGCTGGGGAACGCTTTGGCGTGGGCGTTAAAAGCGAAGGACGGCGGCTTCGTGACGTATATCGCTGATCAATTTCTGAAACATTATGCAGAGCATGGGAAACTCGAGTGCAAAGATCTATTGGAGAATCTAGGATTTTGTATGATGGCTAGCGATAGGCTTACGTTCCTTGGTAGAAAATCATTTCATTCGTCTTGTTTTAATAGTATAACTATTGTAGCAGTTGGGTTCGTTAATTATTATTAACTAGATCAGAGATAGGGAACGTGCGGCTTCCGTAAGTTTCCTTGTACGGTTTCACATGGAAAATTCAAGTTAATAGGATATTTGCATTTGTTTCTTGCTTGAAAGTAATTGAATACATTAAAATATAAATAACATGTGAAACCGTACAAGGAAGCCGCACGTTCCCCACCTCTGAACTAGATATTTTTATAAAACTTCATAGTTTCATTTAGTTCCCCTGATTACAACGAAAATTATTGCAATTTGAAGTTGGAAATCATTGTTAATAATGAAGTAACGTGTATACTACTTGGTTTTTCAACTATAATTTCTACACCGATTAGGATATCATTGTGAAATTTTCTAGATATTTAGATAGAGCTCTCCTAAATATCTCTTCCAAGTTTCATTCAAACCTAATCAGAACCTAAATTATTGTTATTTCAAGTGAAGAATTCGAATCATGAACTAAATATTGTATATTACATCGTTACAGGGAAGTACTGCGAGTTTCATCAAATGTATGGTATCGGGGAGTTCAAAGAGGCAGCCAGTCTGCTCGTTTCTCTCCTAGTTTCAAATCTGACGCCAAAATAGTAAGCGTACATCCAATATTTCATTCCTTCCATTAGTTTTTTTAGTTACTTTCATTCATAAAATTAGAAAAAATTTGCCTGAACATCCTCAGTCCACGTATAAGAAGCCCATAATATTTCAATCCTTTAAACAAATCCCGTTTGGTTTCAGCTTCTGGTCGATCTTACTGCTCGACGCTATTCCATTGCTCGAAGCGAAAGAAGTGATCTTCTCCTCCGGCGACTGTTTCGAGCTCCTACGCTGCGTTGAGGCTCACGGGGACTCACCGAAGTTAAAAGAAGAGCTCGATACCTTCCGGTTCGCCGTAGCTAGAAACCTAGCCCGGGCCCTCAGCCTCGAGGGCTGCCAAATCGAACATTAATCGTTATGTAAATAAATCTTTTTTTTCTTCCCTACCCGGAATCTCAACCAAGCCAACTTTCTATTCGCATATGTACAGTATGTATATCGATGGTGCAACTTTGGGACCGCGATTATATATTAAGAAGTAATTCGTAAATGTGGAATACATTTTTATAAACGAGAAAAGATTTAGTCGATATTTTCGATCCTAGAGGAACCGTGCGATGATACATATTGTTTTCCGACGTAACAATCACGGTCCCTCCGCGGTTGCGCCGTCAATACTGGGACATGTATATCGAATAAGTGCATTCGATACTTTCTTAAAAGAATCAGTTGAACAATACTTGACACTCAGGCCGAGGCCTCGAGACATAAAATCCAGTAGATATCCGATTACAAACCCGATTAAACGTCTAATCGTGGGAACGAATAAAAGAGAGACAGTTCGGTTTTCATTTTCATCCGATTGCAATTGGTTGATTAAATACGTGTAAGGGATGAAAGCCGAAATGCAGAAAAGAGAAGATAAATAAATAAAAAGAAGAAATACTTAGTGCTTGTGGCTCGTAATATCTTTTTCGAGAACTAGAGGAGGGATGGGGGCTATTCGATTTTCTTACATACTATTTATCGTTCTTGTTTTTCACTTTATGTACAACTTTAAATTTAATTTAAGCAAAGCTGCAAGTGCGAGCGCACGAATCAAATGAATTTCGAATTGAAAGTACCCCGAACAGTTGAGCATGCGCAGTCTGTTACATAAAAGCATATATTAATAAACAGGATATAATCATTCGTAACATTGATACAATTAACATCTGAACGGATTTGGTTTTATTTAAAGAGGAGCCGTAATAATAATTATTATATCCCAATACGTATTAATAATAATACGAAATTAATTGAAATCGATTTGAGTATGGAATCGTATGATCCCGCGCTGGCGCTGGACAGTGACAGTCAAGATGGCGGCCGTGGCGAATCGTACGCTTGTCACATTCCGATTTGCATTTAATCGCGCAATTAACGTGTAAAGTAATGATGAATGGTGCATTAAGGAACGTTTGATTGTAGGATTAGACGGTTTTCATGATATGGCGTAGGAAGCACGCGACCAGTGAAAGGAGAGAAAGCATTGGTGCATCTTAACCTGGACGATTTGGGATGAAGTACGACGCGGAATTGATTTGAAAATGCTGAGGTTTTATGGTAAGGATTTATTGAGTCTTTTTTTCGAGTAATGATCATTGCGATCTATAAACAATAGTTCTTTCTTGCATCGCTCCCTTATCTCATTTCTTTGTACTTCGTCCTTAACTTGTCTCCTTGCAATACTTCTTTAACTGATTTCCTTGCATTACTTCCAGTATTATATAATAATATAAATAAGACACTGTTCATATCATGCATAATCTCAATGAGCTATTCCTCTAAACTCGATGGTCTTCAATCAATTTGTAAACCATGTTGATGGTCTAGAGAATCTTACTACAAAAATGAATTTCTCATTTTTCTACTACAACTCTATGTGATAGATAGAATCCAGTATCCATGAATGGATAGGGACCTGGGCTCCTCAAACAGAATTTAGAATCCATAAATATGATCTAAGCTCCTTGAATGAAAAATCCGTAAATAGAATCTGGGCTCCTTAAATACTCTAAACTCCTCAAACAGCATCTAGATTCCATAGACAGGATCCAAGCTCCATGAACAAGATCTAGGCTGTATAAATAGAATCTGGACTCCTTATACAAGATCGAAGCTCCAAGCTCCGTAAATAAGATGCCAATTCCACAATCAATCTACAGACTCCAAGTTCCATAAACATTCTCCAGTATCCAGAAACACTTTATTCCTGATAATCACACTTATCACCCTCGTTACAGAAACGGAGCCTCAACAATCGTCATCCGAGCCATTGCCCCTAATCATGTAACGTCGTCTTGAAAAGAAATGGAAGCCTACACTCCGATCGACGAGGATTTCCCGGGCCGGTTGCTCCACCAAGCCGCTTTGTGGGACAACGCTGAGCTCCTCGAGGATCTCCTCCGTGGCGATCACGCTCAGTACATAAACAGCCGTGATTCTTGGGGACGAACCCCCCTACACGCCGCGGCGATCACCGAAAACTCCCGTTGCCTCAACGTTCTCCTCGCCTCGGGCGCGAACCCCGATGCCACCAGTGGTCCCCGCGGCCGCCACCGGACCCCCCTGCACGTCTCCGCGGAGCATTGCCACTCATCGAATATTTCAAGACTTCTAAAACACGGCGCGGACCCTTTGGCGATCGATGATGACGATAAAACGGCGTTAGATCTGTCGAAAAATGAAAATTGCCAGATTTTGTTGAAAGTAGCCATGGAAATCCAAGAATCGGCGCTTCTCGCGGTATTTTTACCTCTGAAAACGGCTTGCCTCCAAGGAGATGTGAGTTTAGCTCGAAATATTTTACAGAATAATCAAGAGAAGGTTAAAATGATCGTTAATATGAATTCGAAGGAGGAGAGTTTATTGTACTCCGTTTGCGAGTCGGGGAACAAAGAGTTAGTTAAACTGCTTTTGGAGAACGGAGCCGATTGTAAATCGAACCCAAACACGAATTACAGTCCTTTGTACATAGCTTCTTGCAAGGGTCATACGGAAATAGTAAAGATTCTTTTGAAACATTCCCCGAAACAGGTGCAAGTAACTACAATTGAGAAATGGTTGCCTTTGCACGCGGCGGTGATCAATGAACATGTTTCGATAGTCGAGACTTTGATTAAATTCGATTACCCACAATCTGCTTTGATTAAGTTCCAAGTAGGAGAATTAGAGTACGAGGCACCCTTCGATTTAAACAGTCAAGATTCGAACGGACAGAGCGTGCTCTACATCGCCAGCATGGCAGGGAATATAAAAATCGTCGATCTTTTGTTAAATTACAAAGTGAAAGCTAAGAAAATCAATGAGATCGAAGAGGTTCCGATATCGAAAAGAAGGATCTCTTCCGGGATACAGAGGCTCATATCTAATCTGAATTTTCGTAAAATCGAAAAAAGAGACGAGAATCTTATATCCCCCCTGAATCTCGATTTGTATTGCAATAATGAAACCGAGACTAGTTTGCACGCGGCGGTGAAAGGGAGGCATGTTGAGATCGTGTCTAGTCTGCTCTCAGCCGGGGCTGATCCGAATCTACCTTTAAAAAAGGAGGATTGGACCTCGGCGTTGATCATATCTTGCCAACAGAAGGATTTAAAAATTGCAGAATTGTTACTAAAATATGGAGCTTTGGACAGTGACTGTAAGGCCATTCGAATCGCGGCGCAGAATCAGGACGAGCCTCTCACAGCCAAATTATTATCGACGAAAGCTTATCCCGATTCTGAATACAGAATTAACAAAAAAGCGATGACCGAGAATGGCACTTCGATTCTATCAAGTTTCAATAGTGTAACTTACGCGAGTTTGTTCCCTAATACAGCGTCGATGATAAATTGGCACGACCAACAGTGCCACTTATCGCGAATCCGCCCCCAGTGGTTGATCGACGCCGTTTTAAACGTTAATAAGAAACTTTCGAAAAACAACGATTTGGCTTTATACGCGATAACAAGAATCGACATTTCCCACAATTCGATCACTTCCATCCCTCCGATTATATTTCATTTGCAAAGCCTGCACTGCTTGAACCTGGCGCAGAATAAAATCGACGCCCTAACAGCGGAGTCTAAGAATAAAGAGAAACTTTGTCCAGTATTAGAAGAATTGTATTTGCAAGACAATAGATTAGAACAGTTGCCGGAGTTCGTAATGAATTTACCGGCTTTGGAAATTATCGATGTTTCAAATAACAAACTACAGAAACTGCCGGATAATTTATGGAGAGCACCGAAATTAAAAGAATTGAATGCGTCTTTCAATTTACTGAAAGACCTGCCGAGTCAGACTTCTAGAAATATTTCTAAAAAAGAATTCGAATTAAACCAGAGCCCCAGTACGAGGAGCCTCCAATTAATATCGAGAGAGGATTCTTCGGAATCTTTTGCAGAAATCGGCCAGCCGAGGATAATCGAAATCAGTAGACCTCACGTCTGGACGAAATCGATCCAAGTCTCCGAGAAAATCGACGATATAGAGATTAATACAAAATCCATGCTGGTCTCTCTGAATTTAGCCCATAATTTGTTTAACTCAATCCCGGTAGCTCTGCCTTGTCTCGCGGTGAATTTAGTAAGATTGAACATGGCGTACAATTCGTTGAGATCGATGAGTCACATCACTTCTTACCCTAGCAGTCTGAAGCAATTAGATTTATCAAATAATCAAATAAGTCGATGGCCAAGCTTGCCTAGTATCGACGGAGATCTGATGGAACAAGCAAATACTGCTTGCTATTGTCCTACAAATATTCAATCCCCAGTACCAGGAAGTAATAGACAGACAGCTACTTCGTTCCGAGACGTTGTTTTAATGTCAGTCTGCATCCACCGAAGGCATTTAAGATTAGAGAATCTAAGGACCCTGATTCTAGCCAACAATCTTTTAAGCAGAATTCAATTGACTTCGTCGGACGACGGGGAAATGGAAGAAGAGTTGAACGAAAAGGAAATAAAGAATAAACAGTACTTATTATTCCCTAATGTGAGCATGCTAGACGTCAGTAATAACAGAGTAAAAGAAATTCCGATTAACATTCACGAACTAAATAATTTATCAGTATTAAACGTAAGCGGGAACGTGGAAATCACTGAATTGCCACCTCAAATGGGGCTTCTTTCGAGGCTCTGGAATCTAAACACGCAGGGATGTAAACTCCAAGAGCCTCTAAAAAGCATGATTGAGTCCAAAAAATATAAAACTATGGATGTGATCGGTTATTTAAAATCGATCCTCGAAGACGCGAAGCCGTACGCGAGGATGAAGTTGATGATCGTCGGGATTCAAGGGATTGGTAAGACAAGCCTGTTGGAGCAACTGAAACAAGAAGGGGAAATTCCTAATAAGAAGAAATCCGAGCACTGGGCCAAACGCATGGGGAACAAGAATATAAATACGAAAACTTCTAAAGGGACGATAATCTCAACGGTCGGAGTGGACATCGGAGATTGGATATACGAGAAGAAGGTCAGAGGCCAGTCTTCCCATGGCCCGGTGTACTTCCGCACGTGGGACTTCGGGGGGCAGCGCGAGTACTACGCAACTCATCAATATTTCTTATCAAAACGAAGCCTGTATTTAGTGGTCTGGAGGATAACCGATGGATTTAAAGGGATTTCAGAGATCTTCCAATGGCTGGTGAATATTCAAAGCAGAGCACCGAACTCCCCTGTGATAATCGTAGGCACTCACTATGATATTTCAATCGAGAACAGCGAGAGCTTCCAACAGCATATAAGAGAGAAATTCATAAACGTAGTCGACGCCGAAAAATGCGGGTTACCGAAAGTAATGGAGACCATCGAAGTCTCTTGTAAGACCCGACACAATATTAAAATCCTCTGCAATTTGGTTTACGACGTCGTCTTCAGCCTTCGTTCGCCGGGAAGCAAGGAATTGTTATTAGAGCAAAAGGTGCCGGCGAGCTACTTAGCTTTGGAGGACGTCGTTCATCAATTAGCGATCGATAGGAAATTAGTTGGAGCTGATCCGGTGTTGAGGGCCGACCAATATTACTCCGGAGTGAATAACGAGCTTGCGAAGCTTCATAGATCGTTCCGGGACCCGGCGGAGTTGCACCAAGCCACATTGTTCTTACATGAAAACGGAATTATTCTACATTACGACGACGCTACTTTAAAAGATTTATATTTCTTGGATCCTCAATGGTTGTGTGATATGTTGGCACATGTTGTAACGATCAGAGAGATCAATCCGTTCGCCAGGTCTGGGATAATGAAGCTAGATGACATCCAGCACGTATTCAAATCGTCGATAATCTCGCAAGATACTCAGGGATATATAGTGAATTTGTTGAATAAATTTGAAGTGGCTTTAACATGGGATTACAGAACTCTGCTAATCCCTTCATTACTGCCGACGGAGGAGGATGTTTTGAAAAGTAATCAAGTAATCCGGATCCCCGTGAGGAGCAGAGGCTGGCATGCGAGAGCCAAGAAAATTGCCTCGCCTGTTCAATCGGACAGTAAGATAGAATGCGTCTTGACATCGAGGCCTCAGCCGGATTGCTCGGTTACGAGACTTCTATTAATGTCTTACTTCCCTAGCGGGTTTTGGTCAAGGCTCATCACGAGGATCCTCGCGGATGACGTGATAGTAGAGATCGTTGTATCATTCTTACAACCGTTTAAAGATTTCGTTGACGAGACCGTGTTCCACTCGCTAATCGACACTCAGCCCGAATGGGCGCTCTGGCAAACGGGGATCGAACTCAAATACAGTAACGTGACTCTGTTAAGATTGAAAGAAGTTCATCACGAATTGAATAATTCGACTTACGGGAAATTTAAGTTTAAATTGAAGCAAGATGGGGTTTGGTGCGGAGTGGATTTAAAAAACTCAGCGATATTAGAGATTTGGTTTCCGGTTGACACGCTGGTGGTGAAGCAGCCGATCTCTTTGGACGGCGGGGAGTCAATGGATTACCAAGCAATCGTTATTGAGCCGAGGCAGGAGAGCGTGCCGCAGCTACTGGCATTGATCGTCGATCATATTGATATTCTGTTGGAGGACTGGTATCCCACTTTGGGGACGAGATTCGTGCACACTTCTGAGGGGAAATTACTGGTTACGAGGTTGATTCCGTGCCCGAGGTGCCTGATGGAGAACGAGGACGATGGGGACGAAGAGGATTTACAGAGGTACATACATATGTTCGATGGTTCAGAAAAGATTTGACTTGAGGTGGTCTTTTTTTGGAGAATAGTGGAATTATGGGGAAATTGTATACGACCTTTTTTGTAGGAGAGAATCAGAACTACAATATTTGTTTAAAACGTTTTTTAATAGGATCGATAATTGACAAGTTATTAAGAATAAACTGATAAACAATATTGAAATTCTATTATCAAGAAAGTAGTCTCATATTTTTGATGATTACTCCTAAACTATTAGAATTACAAGAAAATTGTATAGGACTTTATTTGTAGCTAAAATCCGCACTTACAACTTTTGTTTCAAACATTTTTCCCTGTCATCAACAATTCCCTCGTTATTTTTTAACAAATAAACTCACTCAACATCAAAAACTCCCACAGATACTACATAAACAAAGAGCGTCAAAGCCAGGACAGCTATAAATCCGATGGCGATAGCGGCGTAGGCTACGATAGCCTTGCCTCCAGCCGAATGCCCTCCCTCGAAGGCCACCCGGAGCTACCCACGATCACCCAACCGCTAGCCTACTCTTGGATGGTCGAAGAATGCATTCTCTCAGCCTACAGCAACAAGCCTGTCACCTGCCCAAAACACTTCGAGATCCCCTTGGCCCACATCGCCCCGGACATAATCTTCATGGACCTGGGCAACCACCACTTAATTAAATCCGATGATATCAAACTGGGCAAACTACTTGGCCGCGGTGCGTTCGGCTTCGTTTTTAAAGGCCTCTGTAAGCCTCCGAACAGTAACCAAAAAATCGACGTCGCTATAAAAATGTTGCAACCGGTTCCTCCGGGCCCCAACTCGAACCAGTCTGCAATTCTTGCTTACAAGGCGGCGCAGAGTAAATGGGACAGAGACCCTTTACAATACGCTTGCAAAGCTTACTGTACTGCTAGACAAGAATTAAATATTTTGCTTACTCTCAGGCATCCAAACATTGTCCCTTTAGTCGGCATTGTCGTCAGTCCGTTAGCTTTGGTCCTCGATTTAGCCCCTGAAGGAGCTTTGGATAAGGTTTTGCGAAATTATCGTCGGTCCGGGGCGAAATTAGATCCGTACACTTTACAATCAATTATTTTACAAGTAGCTAAAGCCGTGGAATATTTACACCAGCAGCACGTAATCTATAGAGACCTAAAATCTGAGAACGTGCTCGTATGGCAAATGCCGAAACCGATGAGTCAGAGATTGGAGGAATACACGGTGCACGTGAAAGTGGCTGATTACGGGATATCGAGATTAACATTACCAACTGGAGCAAAAGGGTTCGGAGGAACCGAAGGCTTCATGGCGCCTGAAATTATCAAATACAACGGGGAAGAGGAATACACGGAAAAAGTCGATTCCTTTTCATTTGGGATGTTTGTGTACGAGCTTATTACTCTGAGGCAGCCGTTCGAAGGACACGAGGCTGTGAAAGAATGCATTTTAGAAGGAGGCAGGCCCTGGTTGACTTACCGAGAGACCTTCCATCCTTGCTACGCTTTGGATCTGATGGTAATCTGTTGGGCGCAGAACCCGAAAGACAGGCCCACTGCTAGTCAGATCGTCTCCATAGCCTCCGCTCCCGAATTCACGCATCTGATCGACGTCGTGCTTTTAACCGAGAGGACTCAAGTCACTGCGACTACGATTATCAATAAAATGATAGACGAGAATTTGATCGACGAGATCTGGTTCGGACAGAATAACGGAGAGATGGACATGTTGTTAGGCACTGAAAGAGGCTGGTTGGAACATGTCCGTATCCAGACCCCGGTGATTCCTTACGCTATGTGCGGATTGGACAATCACGTTTGGGTCGGTGACGACGCAGGCCAGGTTTACGTCTTCCTGTCTTCAAATTACGACAGTGTCACGGTTTATAATTTAGACCCGAATCACAAATTGACCTCAAAGATCGTAGGGCTAGTTTATCTCGACCAGATCAACAAATTCGCGGTGGCTTTACATAGCGGTAAGATGTTTTTATTGGAAAATAAAATGGAGAACGTAGAGAAGATTAAAATTGGTAATGGCAGGGATGATGTTAAAGCGTACTCGTTGGTAGCTACGAGTAACAGGAAGAAGAATCTGGAACTGTGGTTGGGACAGAGCTTCGGTCAGATCACTGTGTTTATTTTACAAGACAATTCTGAAGTTACTAATACCGTTCAATTGTTTCACGACTCGAAAGTCAATGAGAATTTATTCGCGACTCATTTACTGAGCGCCGGGAACTCTGTGTTATCGTACACTTATCCAGGCTGCGTCGTTTACCAGTGGGACGTGGATGCTAAAAAAATGATTAATAAGCTTGATATGTCAAAGCTGGTGCCTTGCTCTGAGAGCTTGAAGTCTATCTCCATTGAAGAGAATATGTCAACGGAGAAGTGCCAGGTAACCGCATTAGAGGCTTGTAGGAATCAACTCTACATTGGGACTACCTGGGGATGTATCGTGGTAGCCGAGTGCGCATCTCTCAGGCCGATTACAGTTTTTAGACCGTTCGAAGGGAAAGTTTGCCAGATTATTGCGTTCAAGTCGAAGGATGAGAAAAGACCTGTGCTGGCTACCGTGGGTCAGGGGTATAGGAGCTTGATTTCGAGGTATACGGATTTTCCTGTGCAGGGGGATGTGGAGGAGTTGAAACATAGCACGTATGTGCTGCTATGGAGGTCAGAACACTGGTCCGCGGCTTAAAGAGGGCCGAGGATTGTGGATCGAATGATGAGTGATGAAATGTTGACAGTGTACACGTCCATTAGATGGGTAGATATATTGTATTTATTTATTTCAATGATCTCGAGGTTTTATCACGGCGTTGTATATAGCGGTACTTGCTCATGTTATCAGTTCTACTCACTGGCTTTCGGATTTTTAGATTTTTTATCATTGTATTATTACGCGCCGAGGAAAATTCGCGCACGTTTTAAATGTGCGCTCGGAATCTTTTACAGGGTAGATTTAGAGGAGGATAAATACTGAAGATCGTGTCATCAGAGGTGTTTAAATCTGAGGGGATATTTAGGAATTTTTGTTTGATGTAAATGAAAAAGTAACCGGTGAGTAAAAGTGACATCGTGAACAAAGATTGGGACGGTTAGTGTAATTAGAGATAAACGAGCGCAGTTTGTATATACGTTATTACTTAATTAATACAGACATCGGAGTACAATTGTTTATTATTGTTTTTTTTTAATGAAATACTGTGTAAAACGGCGGCTTCTCGAGGATTTCGATATTGTGCTTCAAGATCAGGTCCTGGCCGCGGTAGAGGAAGTTGCCCGTGAAAAAGTCGCCGCGTAGCAAGTAAGGGAACCAATACTCGTCGTCCGGCCACATTTCCTTGAATGGTATCTCGTTTACGTTGAACCACTTTGGTCGCATCTCTGTATTCAAAATTAGAACGTATATACGGTGGCGTCCGGATATATGCCCACGCGCATCTATTTGTATCACGCGTGGTCATATCCGGAGGCCACTGGAATTCGAAGGAGCAAGATGGTACAAAGCAATTTAAGCATTCTCTGGATATATGGCCACGCACGGCCCAAATACCCGTACATGGCCATATATCTGGACGTCGTTGTAATATCGATGATTACGAGACGCGAATGTAAAATATAAGAAGCTATCTCCTCTTTTCATTACCTTCGGACTCCGTCAATTCGCCGGAAAAGTTGTACGTTTGAAATACGTGGACCTCGAAGGAGGTGTCCTCGCCTTCGAACTGGAATTCTAGTAGCCCGACTTCGTCAACCCTCTCCGCATTCAACCCGCACTCTTCCCTCAATTCCCTGAAACCAAGACGAACCGACGTTTTTGTACGAACGAACTAACGAGGACCCGTGGTAAGTCTGTTGTTGTTTAACGTGAACTATAAAATATATAATCTATATTGTTGACTAATTGGGTAGTCTTATGAAAAGAGAACCTCCTCCATATTTCGTTTAATTAAACAATTTTATTTCATAGTTTTTACAAAGTACGCGGTTTATCTTCGGAGCGAAGTTCGGTGCTAAACCTCGCTCAGACTTTCAACGAATTTCATTTTACAATTTTTTTTTTTTTTAATGAAGTTAGAATTGGATTATTACCGAACGGCGCAGTCGGCGACCGATTCGGCCGGCTCGACCTTGCCGCCGAAGCCGTTCCACTTCCCCGACCCGAAGCCACGTTTTTTAAAACCGAGCAAGATCTCGTCGTTCAATCTTCGAACGAAAACTAGTGAGAATACTGCCTTGGTCATTTTCAACTTTAATTTCTGTAACGTATGAGCACGACACACTCCGGAGGCACTTTTCAAGTATTAAACTTCGTAACTGAATGCTATCATACAGTACGGTATTTAATACAGCCACAGCCTCGATAATAGAACGTTATCAGTATAGTACTCTAGTACTAAGTGATTTAAAATTCGAAGAAGTTCGATTAATCCAGTCTCGTGGTACGAGAAAAGGATAGTAGACCTCGTTAATTAACCTCTCTCTTTCTACCTCTCTGTTGTCTATACACCATATGGAGACTGTGTAGCTAAAGAAAATAAACGTGAACGAGCCTGGAAATTCAACATGGCGGTCTCTATGGAAAGCTCTCATGCATGCGTAGATACCAGAACGATAGGACCGCGAGAGTTTCTTATATAGTCCGGCATGTTGCAGTCGCGGCTTCGCTTGCGTTCCAAATATCAGAATAATGGAGTGTCCAAGCTTATCGTGCTTTCCGCACTATCTGTGAAACGTCAGAGGTTTTGCCCGTACCGTGGCCCGCACGTAGTGTAGTATTAGATACTCAGCAGGCTCGGCAGTAATCGAAATCGTGTTCTTCCGCGTACAGTGAAACATTGAACAATCCTCCTTAAAACGAAACTGTCAAAGTGTGTTTGACAAAGCGGGTGAAGTGTCTGTAGCCGGGAGAAATGGCGCGAGATTAAGTTCGCGTCTGATCTAGTAAATACGGTTGGACACTTACGTGGAATGACGGATACGAGGAGAAATGGCTGAGAACGGGCTGGGGTCGGACGCCGGCTCACAGGAGTTTCTTGCGGCCGAGTTTGCCAACTTAGAAATCGAAGAGGTGACTATTTAATCAACTTGATAACATTCGCAGCATGCGCAGCGTTTAGGTTAGATTCGTTCGGTTCTGAAGATCGTAGCTAGTTATCACAGTTTTATCAATTATCTATGGAATTGTGTAGTCCGTTCTGTTTCAAACGTATCTTTGATCGGCATTTCGCTTACGTTGGACCACTTCGGTCAGATCTCTTTGTATTCGTAATTATAACTTAAGTACGGCGACTTCCGAATATATGGCCACGCACGGCTATTTGGACTATGCGTGGCCATATATGCGGACCGTGCCGGCAGTATCTGGCCTTACCCTTTTGGATTTCAATTAGACAACGCGACTTCCAATTCTTCCTTTGGATTTTAGTCTGATTTTAGACATCGCAACTACAGTCATCTCGGTTTCATTAGTTATCTATGGAATTTAGAATTGCATTATGTTTAATTCCTTCATTGGATTTCAGTTGGACAACACGGAGTATGCTATACCGGCGGTGGAGGAGCTGCCCTCCTTGGAGAGCATTCTCACCGAACCCGACTGTGGTTCGCTTTCAGGGACCGAGGATGACTTCGGTCCGACGGCAGCGGAGAAGCTGGGAAGCAGTGAGACAGCGAGCGTTGGTAGCCACTTGTCATTGAACTCGTTGAACAAATCGAGCAGGACATCGAGACCGACGTCTTCCGGAGCTATTCTGAGGCATGTGATACTCAAGGGGATCTCCTCTCAAATCGTTTCAGCCAGTGTGAGTGTCAAGTTGTCATTATTATGAGTTATGACAGTCCCATAGTCGTGATGGATATTAATGTACGATCTACTCCTTCAATTGTCCTGCACGTTGTACATTTCTATGAATATAAAATTTTAAGCCTGTGAAATCAATGAATGAATAAACGTGTCTTACCTGTAATTAGGACAAGGTGAACGCCGGCTTGGCGAGCGCAGTGGCAGCGGGTGGGAACATGCTAGTGGTGGGCACGAGCCACGGCCTGGTCCTAGGTTTCGACTCCTCGCAAACTCTACGATGGTGCGACCAGGAAGCGCGGCACCAAGGCTCGGTCTCGGCGCTCTGTTTCAACCACGACGGCACCAGAGTGCTAGCCGGCTTCGCCAGAGGTCATATCCTGATGATCGACAGTGCGAACGGAAAAGTTTTACGGACGCTCACCGACGTCCATCCCGTCGACACTGCCGTGCTGCACGTCAAAGTGAACACACCGAATTTAAATTCGATCGAAACGCAAAATTACACAACGAGACAACTGATTTTTTTTATTCAAGTTCACAGACTCGCCGAAGGTCGCGCTGTGCAGCGACAGCGGCGGCTCCGTGTTCGAATTAAACTTCACCCGGGTGATGGGTGTCAGAGGCTGCGAGAGCAGATGCTTGTTCAGCGGCTCTCGAGGCGAAGTCTGCACCCTGGAACCGTTGCTCTTAAACTACTTACCATCTCATCCATTAAAGACCTACACCTTAGTAGCGATGGCGACCTTATCCAAGGTAAAAATCCCGCTTAGTAATCATTCAGACTTCCATGATAAATCGCATGCTATTAGTCCGAATTCTAAACAATCGTATTTCTTAATAATAAAATTTTAATATTGTGTATCAGTTTATTATTAATAACTCGTTAAATCCCAATTCTAGGTGATCGTCGTTTGCATCAGACCGAGGATGCGAGTAGTTTTGACCCACCCTTTAATCGGCGCCCCAATAGCACCGCCTCAGTTATCCTGGCAGCTGGTGATGATACAAGCAGCCGACGCCTCGCGAATGATCGACCCGGTGCTCGCCTTAGCAAGAGATGACATCGTATATTTCTACCAAGTGTGCACCGAGTCCAGCTCCCGGGTCCGACTCTCTCCCTTAAGACGAATGACGCTGCCTTACACGATCAGCAATCTACGCTGGCTAAACCCGAGGTCGTTGGCCGTCCTCGACACACAGGAACGGTTGCATCTACTCGATGTCAGAGCTCAGGACAATCTGGAGACTCTGGACATGAGCAGGGTCGGTATATCTTACGCTAGCAGCCATTTTAAAGGCTTGTCGACCGGCGGGAACGTTTCCAAGGCGATGGCACTGGCTGGAGAACGGGCCTGTTACAACACCGTCGTCACCTTCGGTACGCAGCTGTTGTTACTCGGGACGAAGAGCTTGCACGTCGTTTGCATCAGGACTTGGACCGAGAGACTCAGACATTTGACGATGCAGAGGCGTTACCCTGAAGCCTTGGCGCTGGGCCTGGCGTTCTATCAGGACAAGGGGAAAGCTGTTGTGGGGCTGAGAGGCTCGAGGGAGAGAAGGAAGCAGATAGCCCGGGACAGAGTCTGTCAGGTATATGAATTATTTAAATTAGGAAAGAATCAATCGAATCATGGATCGGAAAATATTAATTGCTTTTATTTTTCGATTGTAGTTATAATGTAGCAAAAATTCTATCAAAATTCAGTGACGTACGTATGTCAGGAGTGCATGTGAGAATTTTTTCAGATCGATCCGTCTATAATGAACATTGAAAATGATTCACCGTTCAAACGTTTTTTCAAGCATCCTCGACACATATTTTTAGATTGGACTTGATATTTGATATTTCTCGTTTTTACAGGTACTCGTTCAATACATGGAAGAGGAATTGAATCATCATGGATCCGGGGACGAGAACCAAGATCAAGAGATCGTTTCGATTTGCGTGGATTATTCGATTCAGTTGGAGAACACTGAATTCCTGTTTGGTAAACTGTGGGATTCCGTGTCTGAGTGCGAAGGATTGAAGGCGAGCTATTTAAAAGCGTTGGAGGGTCCCCTGTTGGATGGGAGTTTAAAACCGAGGCTGCCGCCGTTGATCGCACAGCAGCTCGTCGCTTTTTACGACGCAGAGGAGAAGCTCGAGGCGCTTCAAGCTATCGTTGTTTTACTCGACGTCGACTGTTTGGATATTCATCAGGTGAGCAAAGTAAAGGGAATCTATGGATATATGGCTACGATTTACGCCGCGAGAAAACTCTGACAATTGTTGGAAGTGCTCACTGGACGCTTTTTACCTCTGAAGACTGAGAGATCAGTTTGATGCTCGTTACGATTACTCGGAAATTATCCGAGTTACAAGAAAATTGTGTAGGACCTTATTTGTAGGGGGAGCAGTTAGAGCTACAAATTTTGTTTTAAATATTTTTTGATAGGATCAATAATTAATGAGAAATTAGCAATAAACTGGCGCTCTATTTAAAAAATCTTATACTAAGGAATCAGTTTTATGCCCGGTGGCCATATAGCAGAAGATCACTGTAATTTCCGCGATAAATATCAAATATCGAAGAAAGATTCACACGTACAATCATTTAATCGAAGGTGACGACGATCTGCCGCGAGCGAGGACTCTGGGAAGCGTTAATTCACCTCCAGACAACGGCTCTTGGCGACTTTACGGCACCGATTCATCAATTGGTGCCCGTTCTTCAATCGGGATTAACGAAGGACTTGCCCGACAGACCCTCCCTGGGCACGATTCAATTAGGCAACGCGCTTCTGGTGTACGCGAGCTGCTGTCTGGCCGGACGAGGCTTCCCCAAGGACGATTTGCCGGAGAACATGTCGCAGCGAGCTAAAGCAGACGTGCTGAGAGCTTTATTGTCGCAACACTCAACTTGTGCTACGGACAACGAACGGCAATACCCTTATTTGAGGACTCTGCTCAGGTACAATATGAAACAAATTGCAGTGTATTGATTAATACTGTAGCCTCCGCGTGTATGGCCGTTCATTGCTAATAACACGTTAATTATTGATTGTATCAAAAAATGTTTGAAACGAAAGTTGTAGCTCTTCCCTACAAAGAAGGTCGTGGAAAATTTTCCCTTAACTCCAGTATTTTCTAAATAATAGCCATACACCCGAAGATCACTGCACATTACTTAATCAAGCTTTTGCAATAATTTCAATTATTCATCAGGTTCGACGCGAAGGGATTCCTGGATGTGATGGCAATTGCGTTCCAGGAGCCCGAGTTCACGTCTGAAATGGGGCTGCGGCAGAGACAGAGGCTCGTCGACATTCTGATCAGCATAGCAATGCCTAACACGCCTCTGGCACCGGGCAGCGACGATGCCCTGCGCGAGGATCAGAGGAATCTCGTCCTAGTGTTTGTCGCCAACGAACTGGCTGAGAATACGGTCAGTTTGGAGCCGGCGGTGCTCAATAGAATGGTGGAGACCCTCTGTTGGCCGGGCAACGAGGAGGCCAGGGCCGAGAGGGAGAGCGCGGTGCTGGGCCTGGTTGCTGGGAGGAAGCTGAGGAACATGGCGGACGCCGTCCTCCTCAGGCTTTCAGAGGCGGCCAACTTGTAAGTATGTAAGGGTTCGTCAAAGTTCAATTGATAACTCTAATGTCGATTAAAAATCTGAGTTCGAACTCTCACGCGTTTCAGTTACTCTCAAATAACTTTGTATCATCGTCTGTGTATCGCGGTGCGCCCAAGTTTGGGCCTGGTCAGTGGGCCCATTTATTGGGCTTTGTGAATGGATCCATCTCACGGAACGATGAACTCCGCGTGTTCCAGCTACCGCGTGGCGGAGATAGTGTACAGCGCGAGGGAGGACTGGCCGCAGGCCTGCCGCTGCATGCTGGAACACCCGGCGCGCTCGCACGACGTCTGGCCCTGGCTGAACCAACTCGAACAGTCCTCGCTGCGAGCAGTGGTCCTTGCGAATTGTACGCGGCTTCTACGGCTGGATTCCCATCGGCTGGCCTCCTTGATTGCGGCGCATTTACGTGAACAGCTGAAAGAAGTTTTCGACGCGCTGGACGAGGCTCGTTCCAAATACGATCTGCTCGACGCTTTGTACATCTGCGCTGGACAGTCAAAGGAGGAAGAGAGCCTCGGGTTCGAACTGGACACCGAGATGCTCGAGACATTCCTGGAATTGATGTGCCAGTTCCAACCTCAACGTGTAAGTTCGAGTAATTTAACTCTTATCACTCCAACAATTCTAATAATATTATGGCAGCATCACAGTCGGGGTGATAAGGATCACTAGTGAAATATTGATCAGAGTTTTCTCGTTTGGATCAATTGAAAGAATCTATTCGGGTCAGGTGGTGTCTCATGTCCGAGGAGTGCACGGGTGCCGGCCAGACGAGGCTTTAAGGATCGTTCAGAGGGCCGAGCATAGGACCGCGGAGGCTGTCGTGCTGGAGAAACTCGGGAACTATCAAGAGGCGCACGAGATCCTGTCGAGGGAACTGCGAGACCGCATGGAATCTTACCGTAAGAACGAGGTGAACGAGGAAGCAGTGACCCGGGCAGCTGGCCAGGTGGCCGGTCTCTGCAGGAGAGCCGCGGGGAATCTCGACTGGATGCCGTTAATAGAAACGATCCTCGAGGCTCACTCGAACGGCAGGGAAGAAAGAGTGGAAAAGCTTTGCGGGAGATTGTTAAGGGTCGTCCTGGAGTTCCTCGGAGGCAGCACGGCGCTCTCCACCGTTTTGGAACAAATTCTCAAGCACCCGTTGGCAACGAGCGGCACGATAGGCGACATCAGGCAATTGCTAAAAGGAGTGCTAGCTCATTCACGCTACGAGCAGACTTTGGTGGAGGCTACGGCCCGCCTGGTTAGCCTGGAACTCCACGAGGCATTAAAGAAGTCTCTTAGGTAGCGATTGATTCGAAAACATATTTCGTTCACGGAACATCCGACGATAACATCCGAAATTCGTTTCAGGGATGCTGGAAGAGCCTCAGGGAGAGTCTCAATAATCTGCCACATATGCAGGCATCTGTTGTCACAGTGCACCAACTACGTGATAGCGTTCAACTGCGGCCACGGGTTTCACTCGGAGTGTCTGGGCGAGGCGAAGTCCTGTTACAAATGCCTCAATAGTAAAGGCTGGGCGCCGGTCGTCACTCACGTGACTCGTCTGAACTCGTACCATGTAAGTAGACCGTGGTAAACGTACACAATAGCTTCCGGAAGTATGTAAGGCTCAGAATTTTGAATTCCATAAGACCTTGAATTCTGGCTCCTATATAAGGCAATAATTTTGGGTCCCCCTATATATTATATTTATACATTATAATAAATTTAAATAAATCATTAGATTGTGTTATAACAAGATAAGATAAAAATCTTTGAAACAGTTTATTTATTAAATTGTTGCAGGAGAGTAAACAATTGTTGGAGCCGGAGTTTATGACGAGAAGCCGGGAACTGACCCTGCGACTGGCCCCGCCCTCGCTGCCGGACCTCGAGGGAATTTTTTAATAATACAAATAATGATAATAACTAATAATACAAATAATGATAAATCTAGTCCCAGCCGTTAAAAAGTTGAAAATGTGGATTTTCATGCGACGAATGATCGAAATAGTAGAGAATACGGTTTTTCTAAATGCATAAAGATCCATTGTAAGTGTCTGTATGTATGTACATTGAGAACGTTTTGTATTCCTCCATTCCATTAATTAAACCAAACGATCCTCGGGATCCTGCGGGATCTAATTGCATTTGTACATTGTGGATCAACGATTCTATCGTCACGCGTAGAGAACGAGTTAAGGTTGCCCACTGTTTAATTCATTTAACAATTTTTTATTATTATGAACTATTAAGAGGACGGAGAGGGCAATGGTTTATTCTTGATGTTCCTGAAGATGAACACCGGTTTTCTGTACACTTTCTTCGTACAGACGTTCGAAGGTTCAGCGACGGCCTCGTCGCCAAGCAACTTACCCGTCAACATGTCGGCGAGAGACTTGAACACCGTTTGCAGGGACTGGGAGTCGGCCGAAGGCCGTAGCAGCTCGCAGTTGAAGACGAAGACATCGATGGTACGGTCCAGCTTTAGCAAACGAGGCGTCAAGCTCGACATCGATAAATGCTGCTGCAGCTGAGCATACAGGAGTTCAAAGTGAAAATCGATTGTAAAATAAGGTCGGCCGTTTAAGATCGATGCTCACGTTGTTGTCGTACTGTTCTAAATTGCATATCAATTCCCAGGCCTCGTTGATTAAATCCCGAGCCTGGCGGGTGTCCTCGGGATCGGAGCAGGGCTCGAGGAGATCGAAATACTTCTGTGAAACTGTCAGTCGCTTTTTGATCTTATCCTTTACGGAGCAGAGGAACGCGCCTTGCACCGTGTGGCTAGGCAACCGGAGCTTTGAACTGTTCTCGAATACCTAAAAACACGAGTTGGTATTCGTCATTCGGCTTGATGTACAGTAATCTACGGATCTTTTAGATAGAGTACCAGTTTATTGTCAATAACTCGTTAACACGTTAAGCGCTACGTCGGTCCCGGGAGACCGACTATGAACTTTTCGTTTGGTCGGCGTCCGTCCCAGGAACTGACAGTATCCAAGTTAAGAAATATTTATTTAATAGTTTTAATGATGTTTAGTAGGACATTCTAAGTAAAGGTATGATTTAGCTCTACATGTATTATAGAAAATGACGACTTTTGGTCAAATTTCTAGCTGTCTTGTGTCCAAATGTTTTTGCTGCATTACCATAGTCCAACAGGAAAGTGAAATAAAATCGTCACCGTGATATACATATGTGTATATACTTTTTGTATTATGTAATACAATATTTGTCGAGTGGCCAAAACCCGCCGCACCGTGCTGTGCGCGGCTAAATGGAAAGAACAGCAAAATTGGCTCTGCGCTTAACGTGTTAATGATCGTATGAAAAAATGTTTGAAAGAAAAATTGTAGCTACAAAGTACTGTTGTGTACAAATAAGGTTTATAACATTTCCTGAGTAATAGTCACAAGTATAATTCTCGTTACATGTAAATGTTCTATAAATGATTGCCATGTATCCATAGACTACTGTATATAAATAATTACCCTGCGATTGTGATAGGCCCAAGTGGTTGATACGTGATCTGCAAAGTGTTTGGTCAAACTATCGTCTGGATGATGAGTCCTCGCCAAGCTCCACAGAGAGTCCAGCTTATCTGAAAGCCTCAAAGAGACGATATTGTACTTTTCAAGCTGCTGGCCTAACTTCCTGTTCAGTTTTTGGTCAGTTTCAAAACTGGCCTGATTCTCTATTCTCAAAACTGCCACCTGAAAATTGAATCGAAACCTTCACCAGTCGTTCATTACTTCAAATTAAAAATTAATGATAATATAAATACAAACGTCTCTTTCAAGGGCTTTCACCAATTCCTTGCAGGAGATTCTCTCTTCCTGATTCTTTATCATCGCTTCTACCTCCATGTCGATCCTTACGGTAGT